GGGAGACCATTGCGATTTTTCTTTTTTAAAGGTTCAGTTGATGAATTTTCGTATATTTGGTTAAATGTGCTATATATATTATTATATAGTTCATTTGTATTGTTTGATGTGTTGATAATTCCTTCCCAGTTAATATTATTCTTAATTTGCCTTATAACATTGTTGGTATTAATTATTTTATATTGTGTGGTGTTATAAGTATCTTGCTTTTCATTCTCGTTGATTTCATCCACACAGACAAATAAAGAATGGTGATCTGATATATCGGTCGTTACAATCGCTGAGTAAGCTTCTTTTAGTTTTTTATTCCATCTGATGATGACATGATCTATGCAAGTTTTTGTAGATCTCGTTTCGTCTTCTCTTGTTGGGAGGGAAATCATACACTTTAATCCATTTGTTGATAGAATACTATGATATTTTGAAGTTATTGTGTTTTCTTTAAGAATGTCAATGTTAATATCACCTATTATTAGTAGTTTTTCTCTGTTATTAATATTAATAAGCATTCGTTCGAGCTCGAGCAAGAATAACGTTGTGCTTTTGTTTGGAGGTCTATATCGCCAATAATGTGAAACGTGAATGTTTGTTAACATTAACACTTATTCTTCCAATTTCAGCCGATGTCATGTTTACATTCACGTTTTTGAATTGCATGGAGTCTTTTATATATACAGCAATCCCTCCTCCTTTTCCAACTCTGTTAAAAAATATGGAATTAAATCCATCTATGTTGTAAAATGATATCTCTTCATCCGTTATATTAGTTTCGCATAGTACTATCAAGTGTAATTTGTTTATTATTCTTGAAATATTGGTTAGAAAATTCAAAAAATTTTTCCTAAGAGACCTTATGTTCATATATATTACAGAAGCAGAAAAATTCATATATTTTGCTGTAATTTCATTAAAGTTGCAAATTTTATCTTTTATATAATTCATTTTTATATTTATTAAAAATTCACGTAGTTTATTAAAAAAAAAAAAAAAAAAACAATTAAAATGGTATATTTTGGTATTGATATAAGTGTTTGTTGATGAATTTCTCTTTACTATGTTATTTTTCTCACTGTGCAAAATTTTGTGGGGTAAACTGTTATTATTTTAATTGGTATCGGTTATGCTTTCCAAATCAGCGCTATTATTTATTAAGATGAAACGTGAATTTTCATTCTTTCTGGCATAAATGCATCCGTTTCGGACCCAAACGAATTTCCATTTACACTCCTTTGCTCTGGTTTTGGTCATCCAAAGTAAGCGCCTGTTGTGCGGCGTTAATTCATCATTTAAAAAAATGGTATTTTCAATTCCCCCTTCATCAGTTCCCTCGCATACTTGTAGTCGGTGTCTGTTTATTTTTTTCATTATCTCTCGTTTTTTGCTTAACGATGAGAACACTATAATGATTTTGTTCTTCTTATCTATCTTAACAGTTCTCTCAATATCGGAGTTGCAAATTTCCACTCCCGTTTTCTCGACTATTTTGGCTACCAGTTCACTGACCTCAATTTTCATGTTTTTAACATTGCTTATTTCAATGTTTTTGTTCAATGCATTTTGCTCTAACTTCTCTATTCTTTGGTTAAGCATCTGAATCTGTGCGCATCTCTCCTGATCTTTCTTATGTAGTTTTTCAATTTGTTCACTTCTCTCTCTATCTCTCTCATACAGGTCGAGTATTTGTGTTGTTAGTGTTGAAACGTTCTTGTTCATATCATCTCGCGTTTCATCCAATTTCGTACTCATTGTTGTGATACTCTCCGTGAGTTGTTTTATGCAGTTTTCTAACTTAAAGAAACCGATTTTTAACTCTTCTATGTCTCTGTTATGTGATAAGTTTTCGTAGTTCTTATTTAACGAGGATGTTGGTGTGTTAGTGTTTTTAAATCTCTTGCTACAGCTAGCATCATCGCTCTCGGTTCTTTGTTGTTTGCTTTGTTGACTGCTAGAGTTATGTTGATAGTGCTCATTTTCAGTTGGTAAAACCAAATAACCAATGTTGGGAGATTTTGATGTACACTTTTGACATCTCCATCCAACTCTTTTCGAATGGCTCATGCTTTTATATGAGTTCTCAGAGAGTGAGCAACAAGGAGAAAAATGATATTGTCCATTACAGTAATGACATCGAACAAAAAAATTGGTTTTGATCTCCAACAAACATTGTCCGCAAATATTTTTGATTTGTTCCTCGGTCGCCGACATTTTTTATTATTCTTTTTGTGGATAGTTCACAGACGAATCGAATAGATAAAATGGCTGGGAAATTAATTGTTTTTTGATTAATTGGACTTAATGATTTGCCAAGAGAATTGATTTTATTTAACGTGTTTGCCGACGGCGCGTGCGATCTCTTTGAAGGCTACAGCGAGACTCTTCTGATTCACGAAACCATTAATACGAGCGAAGAGCGACCATGGACTGTTATGGCGGCGCACAAAATCACCATGGGTGGCGCATGAGTTCTTGGGGCTAACCGAAGGTGCAAACTTTCAGCTGACCACTTTGGCAAGTGAACACGATTATTTTGTTTGTTTACAAACTGCTGGACAACGAATGCTTCCTCATCGGAGAAAACCAAACTCGGTAGTTCACCACTTTCGGCCAAGCGAAGCAACGCTTTAGGTCTTTTGAGTCTATTTTCTTTCCGTTGCGGTGTAAGTTCTTGCACTTTTTGGAATTTCAATGGCCTTACCCCGAGCTCATTTTTCAATATTTGCCGAATGGAATATTGCGATATGTTCAGCTCACGAGCCATTTTTCGGTCACTGCGATGCGGTTTTCGATCAAGACGCTCTTTTACTTTTCGAACAATTTCTGCTGATGTTTCTTGACGGAGGGCTACGCTACCAGTATCACGGTAACGAGCGATGGTAAGAGACACAAAAGATTTATTCACATTTAAATGCTGGAGTGGTCTAACGATAGCTACTTGTGGTTTTCCAGCCAAATATAAAGAAATCACACTATCACGCTTGAATTCCATCACGAATAACTTTTTTTCTGGAAAAATGCTTTTGTGCGCTTGTGAACAATATTCTGAGCTGTCACTGGGATAATTTGAACATTTGGCTTAGAAATGACAGCAGTCTGAAGATGGTTGCAGTTTTTTTCATCTCACCCTGTATAACGATACTCACCGATAGTCGGTGTTTGTAAACTCTTAGTCACATTTACCGACGAAATTCTTTCAAATTTGGTATTTTAGAAGAATTGGTAGATGGCAATCCTTGAAGTATAAAATTGTCTATAGAGGTTCCCGTTTTGGTATGGCCCCATATAACGGCTTCAGTCACTTTATGGTTTTTTGATAAGTTTAAATGATCCTAATGGTCTTACTGGTTTATGATGTTTGAATTCAGATTCTTTTACATAAAAATGTTTACGTAAAGTTTGGCCCGGCCAATGTGTTGTAATTGTTTATTCCCCACAAGTTTATCACTTCTCCAAATTTTCTTATAATTGCAATACCCAATAACCAGTCTGGGCTATGGAAAGCTCCAAGTGGATTTGAAAGTACTCGGTTTTTAAATAAAAACCCTCAGCGACAAATTTTCAAAATGGAAAGACCATAGATCTTATAAAAGGCGTGGGGAGTAGAAAAGCTTCGGATATCGTAGTGTGAATATAAGATATATCGAACCACTTCTTCTAGAGAAAACCAATAAGAAAAAGTCAAAAGTCGGTCGGTCCCGACTGTATGATACCTTACATCATACAAAACAATTAATTTGAAGCAGATCATACCACCTATCAATATTTGGCTTTACAGCACTTATAATTTGGTTTCAGGGGGAACTAATATATATTAGAGGCATATCCAACTCTGAATCACTAAATTTGACGGAGACATTTTTATCTTCTACATTAAATAACATTGCTATAGAGTGCATGATATCACTTCGAGAACGATTATATTAAAAAATATATATACATCGGAGCCGAGTTCCACAAAATGGAAACGTACGTCACGAAATTAACTTAATTTGAGCAAAGGTATTTCCGAGCTCTATAAGATGTCCGGTACCAAATATCATTGTTGTCGAATATTACGGATGTGAGGGACTAAAAGGCCAAATCGGATGAAACATTTGTATGGAAGCTAAAGCTATATCTGAACCGATCTTCACCAAATTTATGTACTTGCTTCTAGACTGAATTCGGTCGGATGTGACAAAAATTCAGGTCATTTGGACTGATATTGGCCATTTGGTGCACAATTAACCCGAAATCGGTTGAAGATTTATACGGGAGCTATATATAAATTTGAATCGATTCTCATCAATTTCAATAGGGTTCGTCCTTGAGTCAAACATATAATGTTTTGAAAATTACATTTCAATCGAATAATAAATGCTACCTGCAGTTTGTTCACAAGAATTCATGGACAGACGGACTAACATGCATGCAATCGACTCAGAAAGTGATTTTAAGAAGATCCTCAAAAGTAACTATGGGTCTATCTCGCTTCCTTCTCCATGTTACAAACAAATGCAAAAAAAAATAATACCCTTACCACTATGTGATGTAGTCTATAAATACTGAGAGTGGTGGTATGTTTTGGCTGGGATGCCGTTTGTTTATTCTTCACATTTTTCTTACAAAAGAGAATGAAACTAACGTTTTTCTCACAATGAAGTTGCTGGACAATTCCTGCAGGCAGAATAACGATAGATACCTTATGTTTCTATTGGCCGCAAATTATCACGGCAAATTGTCAGAACAGCTAATGTCACACAGTGCTATACCATTCTTCCCAAGAATACAAACGTGCTTTTTGCTAGCCTCTGAAGCCATATGTACCCAAGAGTACGGCACTGGTCCCCTGGATATCCTAATTGTTTTTAATAACAAAACACACAGTACCAATTTTATTTGTATGTTATAATTTTTATTTATTTGAAATTAAATAATGCAACCATAAATAAATTATTTCTTTACCTTTGTTTTTTGTTTTTGTTTGTTTATAATAATCATCTAATCATTTCATCATTATTTAGTTTTGCATAATTTTTTTACACCATATTTGTTGTTTATTTACTTTTTATATTTCTGTTGTGGTTCTTCTTTATCGTTTCCTTGTAGTTGACTTTAATTATTCATTTGTTTGTTTTGTATTTTTTCCCAATAGTGTTATTAAGTATATTATATATGTATGTTAGTATGTATGTAATAATTCCCATTGTTGTTAATAAGTTTTGTTTTGCATTCCACTGCTTACTTCGACTTCTCGATTTTATTTTTATTATAATATTTGGATTTTTGTATTATTTTGGAAATTTAGTTATTTATGCAATAAGATTGAGTTTTTTTCACTTTTTATTATTGAAATACATTTGTTTTGCTAGTTTAAGATTTTTTTCTTCTTTCTTTATTATTATTATTATTATTGGAATATAATTGTTTTGTTATTATTATTAATTTTTCTTTTGTTATATAGTATTATTTGCATTGTAGTTTTTGTTTTGTATTATTATTATTAATAATAAATAGATTTATTTACCATTATTTGTTAAGTATTCTTTCTTTGGATTTTCAATTGAGGTTATATTTGTCTGTGTGTGTGTGGGTGGATGAATGTATGAGTGTTTGTGTGTGTTTATTTTGGGTTAATTGTTGTAAATAAGTGTTGAAAATTTCAAATAGTTGAAAAAAAGAAATTGAATGAGATTTTTTTTTGTTTTGGTTTTGTTGTATGGGGAGTTTTAAGCAATTTTAACACTGTTTTTGTTGTTGTTCTTGTAGTTTTCCTTTTTAGGTTGTAATAGTTAGTTGTTGTTGTTTTTGCAGCTGATTTTGGTTGTTATTAAAACTAATTCTCTTATACTCCGCCTGCTGCATGCTGTTTGGTATCATCTGCGACCAAAGATGATGTACCACCACCAGTGCCAGCAGCCTGTGGTGGTGGTTGTGGTGGTGGCGGCATATAATATTGTGGTGGATACTGGGGCTGTGGCTCGCTGCCTATTAGACCAAGTTTATCTGAATGATTGGAGAAAAAGGGAAAAAGAAAAATATATTAAATTAGTTTAATAAAATCTATTTAATTTTGTGGACACATTTTAACATTGATTAAAATACAATTTTGTTTGAATTACAATACTATTAAAAGCTTAAATAGACATGTATAGATTATTAATAATTATATTTTAATATATTTTTGAATATTTTAAATATTTTATATACATTTAGCCTTAAAATACAAAGTATGTTTTAGGTTTAGTTTGTTAGTTGCAGAATAACTTTTTTTAATGTTTCACAAGAGAAAAGAAAATTCTCCTCGATTTATAACATTATACAATCCAATGTCGTAACCACAAGAATGGATCTGGTAACCTATCATCCACCCAAAATATGCATAATAAGCAGCTTAACCAATGCGAAATGCATTACATAGTAGTGAATATGTGATATAGTGTCTTTCTGGGTTTCCTTTTCATTGGAAATTTCAGATCAATAATCACGTCTCGAAAGTGAAATAAAGAAATTAAAATCATAAACATAAATTATTCGCCTCGTTAAGGCAATACTAAATAATTATTAAATATGTTAATATTTAAACAAAAAAATCCCGTTTAAAAAAGGGCTTGGACCGATTGAGAATGTATGGAAACTTATTATAGGGATCGTAAAATTATTACTCTATGTAACATTTGCAAGATCTGAGTTGGGGAAGGCAAACTCCAAATGGAACGGATAATAATGAATGAAAACTTTCAACGGTTTTTAGTCCCCATCCATAAAAAAGACCTCATTTACAGGGTGAGATGAAAAAACTGCAACCAACTTCAGACTGCCGTCATTTCTAAGCCACTCGTCCGACAGCTGTTAAAATTATTCCAGTGACAGCTTATTATATTGTTTACAAGCGTACAAAAGCAGTTTGGTGAGAATTTTCCAAAGAGCTAAAGAGTTGCTTTGCTTGGCTGAAAGTGGTGAACTGTCGAATTCATCGATTAGAAAACATTCGTTGTCCAGCAGTTTGTAAACAAACAAAATGATCGTGATTACTTGCCAAAGAGGTCAGCTGAAAATGTGCAACTTCGGTTGGCCACCAGAATTCAAGCGCCGGCCATGGTGATGGTGTGGGCCGCCATAACAGACGATGGTCTCTCTCCGCTCGTATTAATCGACCGTGGCATCAGGAAAAATGCCGAATATTATCGCGAAAATATTCTGGGGGGTGTATTAAAGCCTTGGGCACGCAAACATTTTGGCCGCAGACCAAGAAAAATGGTTAAAAAATGAGGTTGATTGCTTCATTTCATGCACACAATGGCCATAAAAATTTTTGGATACCAATACGTTGGTCTATTGTGTCTGGAGTATTTTGGAAAGTAAGGTTGACACTAAAAAATACCAAAGTGTCGATCACCTCAAGCAAGCGCTTCGCCGGGAATGGGCCAAAATACCGTAGAGAAACATTCGGGTAACGTGTGACGGTTTCATTGGTCGTTTGAAGGCCATAATTTGTGCCAAAGTTCACCAATTCGAACAAATCTAAACTTATTCTAAAATTTGATGCTATTTCCTACATTTTTTGCTTTCATTCAATAAAATTTAAAAGAAAGTAAAAATTATGGAGTTCGACTTTGTTGAGGTTTTTTTACCTCACCCTATATGTACGATTTAAATATAATTTATTGGATGAACCGATAGTGCTTGAAATCTGAAATTTAGTATAGGGTCGCCGTTCATGTGTAGCCTGGATATAAGTAGGTGGTTTTGGAAATGTGCCTTATACTGAGTGGTTTGAAATTAATATTTGGATTACTGATGGTACTTAAAAAGATTACTAAAGTATAGGGCTGTAATCCCCAAATTGAGATATTTAAGCCACGTTGGTAACTGAAATTGAGATACGGAGGTGGTCTTGGAAATGTGTACTATAATTGTACGAAGAGTACTAAATTTCGTATTGGGTAAATAAATTGAGCTGAAATACTGGCATTTTCTGTGGATGGTGTCTGTGGTTGAGAGAAGGAGCTGGTTTTGGATAATTGCACTTAATGTTACTAAATATTGCAATGGGGGGAATTACAGCGCTGAAATCCTGAAATTTGATTTTAAGGTCACTCTTGGTATCTGAGGCTGAGATATGGAGATTTTTGTGTAAATTGTACTATAATTGTTCAAAAAGTACTAAATGGTTCTAAATTTTGGTACAAAGTGAAGGGATGGAGCTGAAATCTCAAAATTTGATATGATGTCACTGTTGGTGTTCGTAGTTGAAAGAAATTTGATATTTGGATTACTGATGGTATCTATGTTTGAGATTTGGCTGTGGTTTGGAAATGCGTCCTATTTTTGTAAGAAAAGCACTAAATGGTACTAAATTTGGTATTGGTACTAAATATGGATAGAGATCAAATCCTGAAATTTGATATTTAGATTAATTAAGATATCAATGTTTGAGATTCGTCGGTGGTTTGGAAATGAGTCCTATCTTTGTGAGAATAGTATTAAATGGAATTAAATTTGGTATTGGATGAAAGCATGGGGCTCGAATCCCCAAATTTGACATTTAGTTCTCTGTTGATAGCTGGAATTAATATATATGAAGGTGGTCTTAGAAATGTGTACTATAATTGTACGAAGAGTACTAAATAGTAATAAATTTAGTATTGGGTGAATGAGTAGAGCTGAAATTTGGAATTTTGCTATGGTTTTGGAAATGCGTTCTATAATTGTACTAAATGGTACTAAATTTGTCAATGGGGGAATTACAGCGCTGAAATCCTGAAATTTGATATTGAGGTCGCTCTTGGTATCTGAGATTGAGATATGGAGATAGTTTTCAAAATGCGTTCTATGATTGTGCAAAAAGTACTAAATGGTACTGAGTGAAGGGATGGACCTGAAATCCCAAAATTTGATATGATGTCACAGTTGATGTCTGTAGTTGAGAGAAGGACGTGGTTTTGAATATTCGTACTACGAACGTACGAAAAGTGCAAAATGCTACATAATGTGCCGTTGGGTGTTGTGTTAAGACGTGGTCTCTGTTGGTGTCTATGGTGGAGAGAAGTGCATATATGTGTAGGGTATCATAAATCGGCTTTGCCCTATGTACACCGCTATTTCTATTTTTCCAACAAAACATTTTGATGCACAAGACGTGAATGTACGACTAGAATCCAACCATTTAACATTAAAATTTGTTGGAAAATATTTTTTTTAATTCCTTTTATTTCTGCCTTGATTATTTAATGTCCTCTTATAGTTTTTTTTCAAACTCAGATAGAATTTTAAAGCCAATTAGTTTTAAAAGCATAAAGAAACACATATATTTGCGTAGTACATTTACGACAAATAATTAAATTAAGAAAATAAATATAAAATATAAAGGCATGTTTTACAATGTCGAATAAAATTGGATGCGAAAACAAAAAACAACAATTCCACGTTTTTTTTTAATTTTGATTTTTATTTAATTAAAAAATCATAAATTAAAGAATAAGGATTTGTGTTTTTGCATTAATTTTTGGGACACTGTAAAACAGGCTGTAAAAGTTATAATAAAAAATAAACAACCCAAACAACAATAAAAATACCACAATTAAAGCAAATTTCAATTATTATCGCCAATAAAGCCCATTTATGAAAAAAAAAATCAAATAAATCCTAAAATTTAGCTGGCTTACAATTTTGAATTTTGCTTTTCATGTTCTTGTTTCGTGCATTAATTTTGAGCAGAAGGGTTTGTGTCAGTGTGGATGTGAGTGGGAATGGATTGTGCTGGTGGTGGTGGTGGTGGTGGCATTCCTTCATTTTCATTCTCATTTGCTGATGATAATGACTGATGTTCGGAGATATCGGGTGCTTCGCCAACGGGTTCGGGTGCACTTTGCTCATCTGCAGGCAACTGATGGTGATGTTGTTGCATTGAAGAATCTGAATCCATTGCAACAGCACCGCCATGCTCAATATGTCCCGAATGATGTTTTGAATATTCATGCGGATATTGTTCATTGTATTGTAGTTGTGGTGGTGGCTGGGGTGTTGATGACGAACCACCGAAGAGTGAGTCTAAACATCAACAAAAAAATAAAGTTTTGTGCAAATATTGTACGATAGATATATAATAAAAAAATGTATTAATATTGGTGTAAAATTAAAAAACAACACAAATTAAACAATTTAATTATTTGCTTTAAAGGATAATATATAAAATTAGACAAACAAAACATACGTATTTGGTGTGAAATACACATAATGAGAGTTTTACATATGTATTTGTAAATTTTCCCCAAATGTTTTTTTTTATTAATAAAATTAACAAGATGACAAAATGTATTTTTTATGAATTTTGTAAAGTATCGGATATTTAAACATTTCTCGTATGACTGCTAGCTTTTGAAGCTTAAAATCCATTTAATTGTGAGGAAACCCACTTATATTAGCTCTACCTTATTTTAAGTAATTTCTTATAAATAGTTTACCTTTAATTAATTGTTTTATTTATGTATATATTTAGATTTTCTTATAAAATATATTTTTTGATTTGTTTTAATCCTTCTCATCTTTCTCTGTAAAATTAATTTTAAAAGTATTTTGTTAATTTAAAATTATTATTGAACTTGTTAATTTTTGAACGATAGTTCTGATTCAATCTAACTTCACAAAAAATATAATTTCTAGCCATTGTTAATGTAGTTCGTAGATGATTTTTTTATTAAATATCTTACGAAATGATTGAATATTTCAAGTATAACAAAAAAAAAAAAAAAAAACATATAAATATGTATGTGAACCATGTTTCACATTTGAGAAATGAATATCGAATAAAAACGTAAATTCAAAAAATTTTAAATCCAAAATACAAAATCATGTTGGACTATGTACGTATACGTAATGATATGACTTATGTTCAGTATACGCTCTATGGATCGATTTGGGTATAATATATCTATTATATTTATATGACATTCATTTACTTTTATTTTTATACAACAAACATTTTTTATACAACAAATGATGTGATACAGTCATATCCTTTAATTACGAATGTTTAGATTTTGGACGAGGAACAATCTGTAAACTGATGACTGATGGACGCTTATTCGGGGTTTCCCAAAAGTCGACACTTCTTGGCAGAGTATATGCGACTTTTGGGTATATATGGCGGATGTATAAACATAGATAACTCAAAATAGGGCAATAATAAATTAAATTAGAAGTAAAGTACATTAAAGCAAAAAAAATATACGTATATTTGAGATTTAACTGGTTAATTGTTTTTATACATATAAATACATTCTATTTTAAATAATTTATTTAGAATTATTTGAAGCAATTTTTAAATTATTATAACTTTGAATTCTTGCAAATCTGTATATTATATTTATGATTAAGGTTCAAAATTATATTCGTTAGCGATATTGTATATTTTTAACAATTTAAAAAGCAATAAGTTCGGCCGGGCGGAACTTTGAATATCCTCCACCATTTGGAATGAATTTGGAAATTTTCAAAAAATTAAATCCGTTAAAAAATTTGTTAAAATCTTAAAAATACCGAATATAGCCGTTATATTGGAGTTTATACGACGCGGACCTACATAGGCATTGCTTGTTATAAGCCATTACTATATTATAAATGGTGAATGATGTAACATCATCAAAACACCGTATATAGAGAGGTACCGTTATATCGGAGCTATACGAAGACCTGGACCTGCATAGACAACTTTCTGTCACAGGCTGTAGCATCCATTACGAACTTCAAATACGACATCTCAAACAATTTCGGTGAGTATTGTACTTAAAGTGTCAAAATACCGAATATAGGGAGATACTGATATATGGGGACTATACGAAGACCTGGACCTGCATAGAAAATTTTGTGTCACAGACTGTGGTTCCAATTACGAACTCTAAATACGTTATTTGAAACTACTCCGGTGAATAATGACGCTAAAATCTTCAAAATACCGAATATTGGGAGGTACCGTTATAGGGGGGCTATACGAAGACGTCAACCTGCACAGACAATTTTCTGTCATAAGCTGTGGTATCCATTACGAACTTCAAATGCCAAATTTGAAAATTTGAAACAATTCCGGTCAATAATGTCGCTAAAATCATCAAAATATGGAATATCCGGAGTTACCGTTATATGGGGGTTATATGAAAACGTGACCTACATGACCCATTTACGAACTTATCCTGCCTACTGGCAAAATAAACATGTGTGCAAAATTTCGTTCGTAAGATAACGTGATTACAATAGACAGACGGACGGACAGACAGATGGACATCGCTAAATCGTCATAAAATTTTATGCTAATCAAGAATGGATATACTTTGTTGGGTCTGACATGATTATTTGGAGGAGTTACAAACGGAATGACAAAGTTAATATACCCTCCATAGAATGGTGGAGGGTATAAAAATATGACAGCTGATAGATCTATAATCTCTGATTTTTATACCCTCCACCATACATAGTATGGAGGATATATTAAGTTCGTCATTCCGCTTGTAACTTATCGAAATAATAATTTTAGACCCAACAAAGTATATATATTCTTGATCAGCGTAACCTTCTAAGATAATTTAGTCCTGTCCGTCTGTTGTAATCACGGCACAGTCAAAACGAATTAAGATAGGAAGCTAAAATTTTGAAAAATTTTCGAAGATAGGCTATATCGGTCCACGATATCGTATAGCCCCCATATAACGGTACCCTCCGATATTCGGTATTTTAATGTGTTAGCCACATTTTTCAATGGAATTGTCTGAAGTTCTACATAAGGAGTTTTTTTGCGAGAGACAGAATTATCAATATTGGTCCACGATAGCCCCCATATAACGGTTCACCCCGATATTTCGGAGTTTTCTGAATATCCACACAGGGAGTCTTTGTGAGTACTTTACCCCCTGAAATAGAATAGAACCTTCCGATATTCGTCATTTTTTAAATTTTACCAGAATTTTAAATGGATTTTATTTTGTGAAAATTTCCGAATTCGTCCAAAATGTTGGAGGGTATTCAAAGTTCGGCCCGGGCGAACTTACTGCTTTGTTACTTGTTATTTTTGAGCTTTTATATTTTTCCATTTTCAAACTACTTAAAAAATTTTGTTTTGTTATTGTTGAAGATTCAATCAGTTGATTGCTTAAGCCTGTAGTATACCCCATTTGGAATAACTTTTTAACGAAACCGACAGCTTCGCAATATTTGCTGGTGAAGTAAAGCCAATGGGGGAATAATCCGGACTTAAGCAATCAACTGATTGAATCTTGAATCAATAACAAAACAAACACATATCAGCGAAAGCACGCGCAATGGTATTTAAAACAAACAAAATTTTTGCAAATTTGTGAAAATATTTTTCATAAACTATCTGAAGTATATTCTTGGACAGTTAGAAGGACTATCGAACTCGTATTCATGTGATTTTTTAGAATCCTTTTTTTAATTTTCAACTTAATTAATAATCAATAGAACATTTAATAATAAATATTTTCTTTAAGACTACAGGGTAGTAAAAGTTTTATGAATATTTACTGAATATTTTTTAAATATTTTGTGTTAAGATTAATTACCAGCTAAATCTCAAATATAGGACAAAACATATACAAAAATCACACAAATTTAAAAAAAATAAACATATTATACTGAACCTGTTAAAAGCTTTTTAGGAATGATCACAATAGTATTGTTCGAAAACTCAAAATTAATGTGAAGATATTATAAATGATGGATTAATCACATTATTATGGCTAGCCAAGTGGATGAAAATCAAATCAAAACCTTGTTCAAATTTACGCAAAATTACCTAAAAAGCAACAAAATTTAATGAAAATAAAAAATTAGAAAAAATGTATTTTTTTGTTTTTGCGAAAATGTACATGATGTTGCTAACTATACACTTATGTATATTTGATTTTTTTTAATATGACGAGTGAATGATTAAATACAATGTAATATACATATATCCTTGTGACATCCTTAACGATTTCAATACCTTTTGTATGCATTCTTAAAATGTTACTTTTAAATCTTAGATCTAACTGAAACTTACTTGCAATAATGCCCACAATAACGAGTCCAATGACACCCATTATAATCATCATCTGTAAATTGTGATGTGCATTTAAATAACTCATATTGAATGAGAAAATCATAACGGCCATACCTTCAAATTTTGCAACCAGAACTTTCGTTTCAATTTACCAGCCTGCTGTTCAAATTGTGATGCACCCTGTTGCAGTGCATCGGCACGATCATCCAATTCAGATAGCTTTTGATCTCTTTCGAGTACCTTTTCAACATTTGTTCGCATAATATCAACAACCTTTGAAATGAAGATAAGAGCAATTATTGAATTTAATTTGAACACGAGAATGCATAAAAACAGATTAGAGTGTGGGAAATTAGGCAAATAGTACATACAAGGTGAGATAAAAAAAACTGCAACATTTTTTTTACATTTTTACATTTTTTTAAAAATGTCGGAAATTCCATCAAATTTTAGAATAAGTTTAAATTTGTTCGAATTGGTCACCTTTGGCACGAAGTATGGCCTTCAAACGAAACCGTCACATGCTGCCCGAATATTGCTCTGCGGTATTTTGGCCCATTCCCGGCGAAGCACTTGTTGGAGGTCATCGACACTTTGGTATTTTTTAGTGCCAACCTTGCTTTCAAAATACTCCAGAAACAATAGTCCAACGGATTGGCATCCGAAGATTTTGGTGGCCATTGTGCGCTGGAAATGAAGCGAGGATCGTCATTTTGTAACCATTCTTGGCTGGCGCGTGCTGAGTCCTGTTGGAATGCGGCCAAAATGTTTTTTTTTCGATTAATACGAGAGGAGAGTGACCATCGGCTGTTATGGTAGCCCACTCCATCACCATGGCCGGCGCTTGAGTTCTGGTGGCCATCCGAAGGTGCACCTTTTCAGCTGACCTATTTGGCAAGTAAACACGATCATTTTGTTTGTTTACAAACTGCTGTTTTCTCATCGGAGGCAGTTCACCTCTTTCGGCCAAGCGAAGCTACTCTTTAGCTCTTTTGAGTCTATTTTCTTTCTGTTGCGGTGTAAGTTCTTGCACTTTTTGTAATTTACCCCGAGCTCAATTTAATGAGCTGCCACTGGAATAATTTTAACAGCAGCCGGACGAATGGCTTAAAAATGACAGCAGTCTGAAGTTGGTTGCAGTTTTTTCATCTTACCCTGAATATTAAAATGACAACAAAAAGTTCGAACCATATTCGTCTTGATCTCACACTTTTTCTGTTTTGCATACAAATTTAACAATTTCGGAATAAGAGTTTTACAAAACTTACCTCATCGACTTGTGCCTGGGTTTGTTGTAATCGTTTTTGTGCCGCAATCTGTTGAGGATTACGTGGTCCTCCAACAATCTCGCCATCACCACCCTCACCGGCTGGTGGGGCATCACCTGCTGGAGGGGCATCGGCTGCTGGTGCTGGTTCCGCCCTATGAAAAGTAAAACAGGCATTAATTATTAAATTGCAACTAAATGTTTTCAAACGTCTCAAAATGATTTTACAGTACTCAACAGAATTACACAGTGAGAAATGTTTTTCTTTTTAATTTTTTTACATGAGCAGTTTTCTTTTTAGCCTCTCTACAGATGAACACGAAATTGTAATAGCCAACCATAAGTTTCTTATGAATATAGATTGTGTTGCAACTTACTCTTCCTTTTTCTTATCTTTCTGGCCCATTGTTTACAGATTTATATATTAACAAACAATACTGGTTGTGGAGAAAAAGAAAGTAAACATTGGCAATTATTTCAAGTTTGTTTATTTGGCGTCAAACCATTACTTAAAAATCGATGATCAATATTTTACTTTTTTTCAAATACTTTCGATTCTAGCTGTTTGAAGCTACTTGGGAAATAGGGTATTTATTGGTGCAACTTAAATGATTTAAGTGCAGTTTTCTAAACTTATTTAAATAAACATTTTTATAACAAATTTGGATGTCTGTCCAATATGAGACTTTCTTGGTAATTTTTAATTGGGCGCCATATCGGGTTTTTCTTTTTCCTGATCATTTTAGGAAATAATTAAAAAACATAGGATTTACAGCTTTCTGCTAGCAAACCTGTTCCACTAGGTAACATTGGCAATAGCCAATGTTTGATCCACCATATCCTATTTCCCCCAATATAAAGTTACCCCCCGATATTCGGTATTTTCATGATTGTAGCCAAAATTTTCAATGATATTGTCTGAAAATCCACAAAAGATGTTCCTTCTAAGCACTTTACCCCCTGGAAGAGTATTGTCTATATAGGTCCACGATATCGTATATGCCAAATATAACGGTACCTCTCTATATTCGGTATTTTGATGATTTTAGCTACATTCAATGGAATTGTCGAAAAATTCAAGCTAGAAGTTCTTTTTAAGCACTTTACTCCCTGGAAGAAAAATGTCTATACAGTTCCAGGATTTCATATAGCCCACATGCAACAGTACCCCCAGCTATTAGATATTTTGACGATTTTAGGGACATTATTCAAATTTCGTATAATTCCGATATATTCGGTATTTTCAAGTTTCGTATTTCAATATTGTAATGGCTTATGACAAAAGTTGCCTGTGCAGGTCCACGTCTTCGTATAGATCTCAATATAACGGCTATTTCCATATTTAGTTTAGGATCTTGAACTTTCAGCCAGCAAGTCCGTTACACTGGGTAATTATCGGACAAAAGTGTGACTCACAAACGATACATTTGGCTTTCTCAAAATGCCAGATCGATCTCACACCTTATTAACCGTAAATACCTTATTCTTTTAAAAATTCTCAGAGACTTGGACCTTTTTGGTGGGTCCTTAGTATTTGCAGTCGCTGAGCTCATCGTTTGGTCCTCTCTCATTTTCTATTCTATTACCAGACCTTCAATTAAAGGTTGTAGTAATTCGATCGAAGTTGAGCGAGAGCACTACTTGGAATAGAAACCAGTAAAAAAGTCAAAAGTCGGGCGGTGTCGCCTATATGATACCCTACGCCACTATGCATATTTAGTAGAGCTCCCGTAACAAAATAATTTATTTGAAGTAGATCTTATCAACATTTAGCTTTAGAGCAGTTATAGTTTGGTTTCAGAGAGAACTAACATAGGGCGAGATGAAAAAACTGCAACCAACTTCAGACTGCTGTCATTTGTAAACAAACAAAATGATCGTGTTTACTTGCCAAAGAGGTCAGCTGAAAATGTGCACCTTCGGTTGGCCACCAGAGCTCAAACGCCGGCCATGGTGATGGTGTGGGCCGCCATAACAGCCGATGGTCGCTCTCCGCTCGTATAATCGACCGTGGCATCAGAATAAATGCCGTTGAAGGCCATAATTCGTGCCAAAGTTGACCAATAAAATTTAAAAAAAGATGTAAAAATTATTGCGTTTGACTTTGTTGCAGTTTTTTTTTGTCTTACCCTGCATATATTCGAACATACTCATTTAGAGCAATTCTATTGGCGCTATAGGAGAATGATGTTCTACAGAATGATACACTCAGACTTGTTGCACCTTAATTTTCCTAACGAAGTAGATTCCAAAAAATAAATAGAAACAAAACACAGGGTTGATTTCGGAATGTCAATTACAGAGAACACAGAGCTATCTTCGACTGTCTCTTGAATAAACGTTTTCTTCATAATTTGTAGAGAAGAAAACTGTGTCGATCGCAAATATTTTAAATCGTCAAAGTAAAAAAATAATAAATAACAAGCAAAAAAGCTGTAAGTTCGGCCGGGCCGAACTTTGAATACCCTCCACCATTTGGTACAAATTTGGCAATTTTCATAAAGATGTAATCCGTTAAAATCTTAAAAATACCGAATGTAGCCATATATTAGGGTCTATACGACGACGTGGACCTGCATAGGCAACTTTTGTCACAAGCTATTACAATATTCAAATGCGAACCTTGAAAAAAATAATGTAGCTAAAATCATCAAAATACCGAATATAGGGTGGTGCCATGGGGGTTATAAAACGTGGCATAGGCTGTAGTATCCATTACGAACTTCAAATGCGAAATTTGAAATAATTCCGGTGAATAATGTCGCTAAAATCATCAAAATACCGAATATCGGGGATTCCGTTATATGGGGGCTATACGAAGACGTGAACCCGCACAGACAATATTCTGTCATAGGATGTAGTATCCATTACGAACTTCAAATGCGAAATTTGAAACAATTCCGGTAAATAATGTCGCTTAAATCATCAAAATACCGAATATCGGGAAATACCGTTATATGGGGGCTATTCGAAAACGTGGACCTGCACAAACAATTTTCTGCCATAGGCTGTAGTATCCATTACAAACTTCAAATGCGAAATTTGAAACAATTCCGGTAAATAATGTCGCTTAAATCATCAAAATACCGAATATCGGGAGGTACCGTTATATGGGGGCTATACGAAGACGTGGACCTTCATGGCCCATTTTCTGTTTTATGCTGTAGTATCTATTACAATTTGACACAATTATATTGTTTATCGTTTCCTGTGCAAGGTACACAAGGGGTTGCATATCAGCATCTCGTAAAACCTCGCCTATATTTATCTCTAACAACAATAATCAAATAACAAATCTTTGTGGTAGTCTGTATATGCAACTATATTGAGCAAGTTTTGCAAGGAGAGATTCCAGGAACTGCTGAATTATTTACTGACTAAGAAAGTATGAAATTTGAACGATCCCAGTTGTATATTTTGAGGTATTGCAATTGAAATAACAAATTTCTTCATTTTATGATGGAGAGTGGTTAGTCTCCTATGTGATTTCTAATGAAAGTATTTTATGGAATGTTCGAGTTCACATACGTGAGTACATTAATTTATTTTGCACTCCCGCATTCGAACAATTGTACCAATTGTACGTAAAAACGAAACTGGTATAATGTATATTTTAATATAAATCCCAATTATTTCACTTCCATAATCCATAACAGCCTTGCCAATCATGTATCTCTTGAGCACATTCTAATGTTTTCGCGTACCTGTGATAATTTTACCCCCACACCACTATGTATACATTGAGTTTATTCTCATATGGACATTTCCCACAATTCTCAAGGAAATGATTTTCTTTTGTTCTAAGGACATCTTTTCTTATTGGTCAACAAGGCGCTTTAACGGTTTAATGGGTTTTCCCAATACCTTTCTTTCATTTTATTTGTAATAAAGCATAATTGGACATCTTTATCTTTGTTCGCTGATATCCTTTAAAATGTTGTTTCCGCTACCCTGAGCGATGGTGGAATGCGTGTTTATCAATTTTTTTTTGGGAAAAAATGCTATTAAGCTCTACCGGTATTTGTTTTAAAAATTAAATCGGACACAACTTTTAGCATTCACTGTATTGTATGGTGTTATTATTGGTAGTTTTATATATTTTTTTTCTGGCACATGAGTATTATACACTGTTATACAGATTTTGGACATCATCACAAACAAACAAACGAACAAACAAAAAACTTTATTCAATTGATAGCCAGAATTATGACGCTAGTAACTGTCACCAGATGAATCATGGATGGAAAAAAAAGTTTGAAACGATATCGAAAAAAGATGATATGACCTTATATCACACGCACACACAAACACAAATGCAATAGTATACGATTTATATATGTACGTCTCTACATACATATATTATTTTATGCATATGCAATTTTTCTTTCTACGTCACACATTTCACACGCAAAAAAAAAATGTTGATTTTTTGATGGATTTGTGGAAAAATTTTCCACTTCGAAATGAAGATTTGGCTTACATAGTATTTATTTGCTATTACTATATATATATTAGATTTTGCACTATAGGTGTGGGCGGTATACGCTTAGTATTGAATGGTGCATAAAATCATTTAATTAATTAATAGAGGCTAAACCCGTTTTAAAAATTTGCACTTGAACTAAAAAGAACACAATGCACACGAATGAATTCCACAGAACCGAATGAGAACAATGGTTGGTGTCGTATTTCTTTTGAAATTTTTGTTCTTCCTTCTTCTTTTACTGGTGCTGCTGCTACTGTTGAGCGAAGGAATGATGGCTAAAAATGTGTACAAGTGTGCAGAACGAGTACTACCAAATAGGGTTGCCAAGTGGTTTATTATTCTTTGTCGTTTTTAATACAAAGGAAATGGTTTAATATATGTATGAATATGTATTAAACATAATTGAAGACTAAAGCAAAAAAAAACTACAAAATTCCTGAAAAATCCTCAAAATTTGTATTGTCCCAATTAATAATTGTCACAGTTTTATTTTCATTTTCAAGGAATGTTTATACTACTTAGCTTATGCTTTTAGTAAAATGCTCCATATAGAATGTGAATTATTTTTCCTAAATGTCAAATACCTGGCAGATTTTCATAAAAAGAGGGTAGTTTACCAAAACTCTGTAAAATTATCATTACTTTTTGAAACGATAACTTATTTCAAACATTAAATGTTTACCTTCTCTTATTTGGTAAAGGTGAGAGTACATGTACTGCTCGCAGTCTTCGCATGGCATATTTTGGGACACATCATAAAGGGAGCAAAGCTGCTTATGTACCCTCACCTTAAGATCTCGCCGAAGTTTTAGCACAATTTTGACAAATAACGTTTTTAAAACCTATCGCATTTAATTTAAAAGATCTATACTTCCCCTTTTCATTTCTATCATTTGTCAATAGCTTTTTTATGTATTGAGCAGTATTTCTAAAGTTTCAGGTATTTACGACCCAAGAACGAAAAATCTAATTAATTTAATTTCTAAAAAGCAGTCGATTTTTTACACATTTTAATAGAAAGTTTCATATTAAATACAGCTTATATATCTTTTTTAATGTCCAAGACAATCCACCGGAAGAATCCGTAGATCCCCTGATTTTTTGACGTGCAATTACATAAGGTATGATCTCAGTTGTTCAAAATCAGACTAAGCCCGACGTCAAGGAAGTGGACGGAAGAAAACAGAAAAATCAGCAGATATGTTTCGAAAAGTAAAGCAGCGACTTGATCGAAACCCGAAAATGGCTCGTGAGCTGAACATATAGCAATATTTCATTCGGCAAATATTGAAAAATGAACTCGGGGTAAAACCATTGAAATTCAAAAAAGTGCAAGAACTTATACCGCAACAGAAAGAAATTAGACTCAAAAGAGCTGAAGAGTTGCTTCGCTTGGCTGAAAGTGGTGAACTGCCGAATTTGGTTTTATCCAATGAGAAAACATTCGTTGTCCAGCAGTTTGTAAACAAACAAAATGTGCACCTTCGGTTGGCCTCCAGAACTCAAGCGCCGGCCATGGTGTGGTCTGCTCTCCTCTCGTATTAATCAACCGTGGCATCAGAATAAATGCCGAATATTATCGCGAAAATATTCTGGAGAGTGTATTAAAGCCTTGGGCACGCAAACATTTTGGCCGCAGACCTTGGACATTCCAACAGGACTCAGCCCCATCGTACTCAGCACCCAAGAATGGTTACAAAATGAGGTTCCTCGCTTCATTTGTAGCGCACAATGGCCACCAAAATCTCCGGAAACCAATACGTTGGACTATTGTATCTGAACAAATCCAAACTAATTCTAAAATGCGATGCTATTTCCGACAGTTTTTGCTTTCATTCAAAAAAAAATTAAAAAAACTAAAAATTATGACGTTTGACTCTGTGGCATTTTTTATCTCACCCTATATGAAGGTTAGAAAATATATAAAACGTCTTGCTGATTGTCTTATGTCATCGGCTGACTTCTTCGGAAAATAACAAAGGAGCCTAGGGCCGATATCGAACTAAGTCAACCTAAAACTCCTTGGTTCCCCTACGAAGAATCCAGCCAATGACTTCTGCCAGTCGAAAAGCCTTTTATGTACTCTCCCCCAAAAATGCTTTTTTGAGTGGTTTAAGTCATCGGTTGCCTTCTTCATAAAAGAAAAAGGAGCGTAGGGTTAACAAATATAAATAATGGGCCGAAATTGAACTAAGTCAACCTAAAGCTCCTTTGTTCTTTTACGAAGAAGTCAGTCAGAAAAGCGTTTTATGTACTCTCACCTTTAAATTTGACAACATAAATTAATGACAATGCAGAGCTGGATATTTTTATTTGAAATGAGGTAACATACTTAAGGTCTCAACACAGTAGAAGATTATTTATCTTCCTAAAGACATAGATTGGCTTACAATGTAGAAGAAAAAACTTATCGTCAGGGAAAATTGTAATTACTTGAGGGAACCAAACAACCTCCCTCTAATGTGGGTCGTTATTTCAGAATATATAATTTCCCTTTTAAGTCAGACACTACTTCAACAAATAAATTCTACAACATTCCTACATAAACCAAAAAAAAAAAAACAAAATTGGTAGATTTTACTCTTTTATGTCAGCTCCTCTTGGTTCCCCTTAAATTAAAACATGTGCCCATTTTATATTTCTTCTATTCAAATAATTTGGGTTTCCTATTAAAACAAGTGTCCGAGTTTCATAAAAACCGTCTAATTTCATAACAAAAATTTTTACAAATTCTTTTTTAATAAATACCAAATAAACGTAATTGGCAACCCTAACTACATACGATATAAAGTGGTTGAAAGAGAAAGGGCTGGCGAGCGAGAGAGTGAGAGGAAAGGAAACGGAAAACTAAAATCGATTTTGTTCACTTACATGTCTTTGGTGTACGAAGCTTCTTTAACGGTTTTTTGTTGTTGTGTTGATTGGGGTACTTTTTCTGCCGCTATTTACGTCGCCGTTGGGGCTCTTTCTTACACTGGTCGCCTGCTTGCCTGCCTGTGTGTGAGTAGTGAATGGAGGATGTTTGTTAATGGAGGGAGAATTAGTACACACTGAATGATTTTGTGGCCCAAACAAAAGTATGTCAGTGTTTGTGTCGGTTATAGCCAGCAAACGTCTGATGACGACTACAGCATTGAGAATATTCTGCTGGCACTCTGCTCTCCAATCTTTGAACACTATAGCTTTTTGAGTGTGGGGGTGTTGCAGGATGTAGAGGAAAACGACTTTACTGCTGGTGGTGGTGTTGGCAAATCTTCTTATACACAGAGAGAGGGAGAGTGAGAGCACAGGGGATTATACGCATTCGTTGTTAGTCCTTTAGTGTGTGTGTGTAGCGATAGCTCTCTCTTCTCCGCTGAGGATTTTTTATGTGATATTTGTTGTTGTTTTCTGCGCTTTTAGTTAGTTAATTGAATGAAGTCAACTATTTAACGAGCTAGTGACAAAGACAAATGATGATGATGGTAACTCGGGTAGAAAGGAGCACAATTATACACAGGCGCGTTAGAGTCCTGTCAGTTTTTTGGTGTTTTATTCTTTTCGGAAGATTATGGAAAAAAGCTTTTCACAACTTTTGTACTCTCCTTTTGCAAGTTTGTTATACTCTGCAACACTGCTGAAAGAAAAAAATCTTCGGTTAAAGAGGAAATATTGCAATTTTTATGTAATTTTTTCCTTTTGTCCATAAAAAGGAAGGAAAGGATATGTTTTTTTTTTTTTTTTTGATTATTACAACATTGCAATATTGTAGTTTTTTAATGTTTATTATTCATCATACTGCCTTAAAAATATTATAGGTAATAAGTTGGATTTTATAATATATTTTCATAATCCATTAAATATAAGGCATTGAATGATTTTTTTCTTCACAGAATTTCCACAAACTTCCATCGATATGTTAGATTTAGATTTTCTTTATTGTGTCATTTTGGCTTTATACATGACATTTATTTTCATTTTGTTTTTTTTTTTTTTAACAATTTTGTAGTATTTCCACAATAGTATTTCTATTTTTTCTTCTTATAATTATTAATATTTTATTTTTTCTATTTCCCTTACAAGAGCTCTGCTCAATTTGTCGCACAATCGTATAGAAGATGTTTTTATTCTCGCTTTCTTAACGCTTACAATATAAATGTTGAACTGTTTGGATTTTCCACCATTCATTTGGTGAAAGCTCTTCTAATCGTGAATTCTATAACCGTTATACACAAGTATTTCTCACATTTATGTGATGGTATGTAGCAGTAACGGTTATACACTATTATAAGGCTATCTCTTTTCTTCTCACCGTATTTATATACATTTTGAAGAGAGAGGTAATGCCAGCATTCTCATTGTATGGATTATAAGTTAGGAAGCTTGCGCCTTGAGTAGCAAGTACTGGGTGTTGCTGAAATCAAAATATAACACTTAACGAAACCAGCGTGACCGTTGTGCCACTAAAGTATCAATTTTGCCACTTTTTTTGGGATTTGATACCTTTGTGCCACTTTTTTATTTTGATCCTAAATGAGCCACTTTTTTGAATTTTTGTGCCACTTTTTTATACTTTGTGCCACCTTTTTTATACCCTCCATTAAGTTTGTCATTCCGTTTGTAACACCTCGAAATATACATTTTAGACCCCACAAAGTATATATTTTCTTGCTCAGCATAAAATTCTACGTCGATTTATCAATGTCCGTCCGTCTGTCCGTCTATCCGTCTGTGGAAATCACTCTAGCTTCCGAACGAAATGAAGTAAGTTGAAGTAAGTGCAGGTCTACGTCTTCGTATAGCCCCCATATAACGGTACCACCGATATTCGGCATTTGGATGATTTTACCGACATTTTTTTAACGGAATTGTTTCAAACTTGGTATGTGAAGTTCGTAATAATTACTAAAGCATATGACAGGAGATTGTCTGTGTAGGTTCACGTCTTCTTATAGCCCCTATATAAGGGTACCCCGACATTCGGTATTTTGATGATTTTAGCGACATTATTTACGGGATTTATTTCAAATTCTGTATTTGAACTTCGTAATGGATACTACAGCCTATGCCGGAAAATTGTCTGTGCAGGTCCAGGTCCCTATATTCGGTATTTTATTTACTTTAGCTACTTTATTTCGCATTTAAATATTATAATAGTTTTTGACAAAATTTGCCTATGCAGGTCCACGTCGTCGTATAGACCCTAATATACGGCTACATTCGGTATTTTTAAGATTTTAACAGAATTTTTACCCGATTTTATTATTATTATTATTTTTTTTTTTTTTTTTGTGAAAATTGCCAAATTTTTACCACATGGTGGAGGGTATTCAAAGTTCGAAATTACAACTTTTTTACTTGTTTTAAATAAAGTGTGAAATAAATTGTGCCACTTTCTGTGCCACCATTTAAAGTGATATGTGCCACTTTTTTTAAGAAATGATACTTTTTGTGATACTTTTTGAAAATTTCCAGCGGTCACACTGAACGAAACACATGTTTTGTAACACTAAACTACAAATATGGAAATATTTGCGATTGTTGTGAAATTCATTTACTGCATGTCCTTGATGATTTGAAGAAACAACGCATGACTGTCAGAAAATGACATTTAATGTTGGGAATTGGTTTATTTTATTATTATTTTTATATTTGGGTACAGAATTCTACGTAGCTCCATTTTTGTACTTACACCAGAGTCGACCAGTTGTGGAATTCTCTAACTCATTTTTGAGTTACCAACAAAAATAACCAAAAAATTATGAAATAAAAAAGTTAAAATTTACTACATTGGTATCTATCGGTAGGTCATAGAAACTACTTTGATATCGTGGTTAACTTATCAAAAAATTCCTATATTACCGAAATTACAAGCATTTTAAATTTAAGGACTTTTGTGGGTAACTCAAAAAAATGAGTTAGAGAATTCCACTATGCTGGTTCAAGGATGATACACTTTATTATGTTGCGGTAGATGGCGTTGGTAGAATAAAAAGTGTTAAGTCACCATATCATGACACTTTGAGGTTATGACACTTAAAGTTACGAAATCTCTACCATAGTAGAAGAATCCAGGTAGTTGCACAGCTGCTGGAACAATGAACTGACAAACCAATTTTGGAATTGAAATTTTTGAATGAAAAATTATACTTATTTGGAAAAAAATTAAAAAAAGGACATCATTACAACCTCTGACTGACGTCATATAGGTAAACATATACAAATCTACTCAGTTTGAAGAAACTTTAAAAAAAAATTGACATATCAATGTTCCCAAGCGTTGATTCTGTATTCTTTTACCATGATCTCTATCTAAATTAATAACGCGATTACATACAGAATATCTACCCGGACAAAACCTGATAATTGGCCAATCATAATAATTTTAATGTATGCAGGGCCGAAAGACGTCCTTCGGCCTCTATCAGACGGAATGTATCAAATTTTCCATATATGTAAGTTCCATTTCAGCTGTGAAATACATTAGTAACATGGTACAAGAATATATCTAGATTCATAAACACTCGCGAACATTGATATGTCAAAAATTTTTATCATATCTCCAAAAATAAATGGATATTAAAAGCTTTTCTTATACGATGCCAATCGGAGGTTGTTATGACATGCATTTTTCAACAATTTTTACAAATTTCGATATTTTTGATTCAAAAATTTTAATTCCAAAATTGGTTTGACATCTCATTGTACCAGCAGCTGTGTTGATGCACGTATCTGTATCATTTTACATGATTAGTAAGTTACATATTTACTTTTTTCGATCCCTGTGAGGTTGTTTTAAAAAACTATTCAAAACAATGACCATTTTCTTATTGTTTCAACTAATTCATAATCCGGTTGTTAAGTCTCTTATTAACGTGATAACGTGAATACCCCTATTATTTAGGCATAAACACTGTATTGTCTTAAATCATATGATCGTTTGTTTTCATAAATAAAGTAATGAATTATTTCTTGTTTTTATGAGGAAGATTTTTTTTATTAGATTATCGTTTTATTGAATAAGTATGCATTAGCGTTTTTAAATATTTTTTAAAAATAAATACAAAAAATGCGTCGTTTCTCCCATGTGAGCATATGATATGTTAACGCCGTTACAACTGTCAAAGTCTGAGGCAACACTGGACTCTGATTTGCACATCGACGTGTCAAAATACGTCGTTGTCACTTGGCAGGGACAGGAAAATAAAAGTAAAAGTTTTTCCCTGTGTTTACGCCAATTCCTTTGTGCAATTATAAAAATAATACACGTGAGAATAATATTAATTATCTTCCATTTAAATAGTGTACATAAAGTTCATATTTTTTCAGTTGTGCACACGTTGTAATCCAAAAATAATACTTCAGTTCGTGGTGTACAAACAGCAGAAGCAAAATGGTTTTAGCAGATTTGGGTAGAAAAATAACAACTGCCTTGCACTCGTTGAGTAAAGCCACAGTTATCAATGAAGAGGCCTTAAATTCCATGCTGAAGGAAATCTGTGCTGCCCTCTTGGAAGCTGATGTCAATATTCGTCTGGTCAAGCAATTACGTGAAAATGTTAAGGCTGTCATCGATTTTGATGAAATGGCTGGCGGCTTGAACAAGAGACGCATGATACAAAGTGCTGTTTTCAAGGAATTGATTAAATTGGTTGACCCTGGCGTGAAACCATATCAACCCGTTAAAGGAAAACCAAATGTTATTATGTTTGTTGGTCTTCAGGGTTCCGGTAAGACCACAACTTGTACCAAATTAGCCTATCACTACCAGAAACGTAATTGGAAATCATGTTTGGTGTGTGCTGATACATTCCGTGCTGGCGCCTACGATCAAGTAAAACAGAATGCCACCAAGGCTAGAATACCTTTCTATGGTAGTTACACTGAAATTGATCCCGTAGTAATTGCCCAAGAAGGTGTGGATATGTTTAAACGTGAAGGTTTCGAAATGATTATTGTCGATACTTCGGGTCGTCACAAGCAAGAAGAATCATTGTTCGAGGAAATGTTGGCGGTTGCCAATGCTGTTAAACCCGACAATATCATATTCGTAATGGATGCCACCATTGGTCAGGCTTGTGAAGCTCAAGCTAAGGCTTTCAAAGAAAAAGTTGATATCGGTTCAGTTATCATTACAAAGTTGGATGGTCATGCAAAAGGTGGTGGTGCATTGTCAGCTGTAGCGGCCACAAATTCTCCTATTATTTTCATTGGTACCGGTGAACACATCGATGATTTGGAACCGTTCAAAACGAAACCATTCGTTAGCAAATTGTTGGGTATGGGTGATATTGAAGGATTGATCGACAAGGTAAGTAGTAGTCGTGTGGGAGGAACAGTCCTACGACACTGTGTTTATGAAATTGTTGAAAAGGAAGAATATGTCGCGGAATAATGGTTCATAGGTCTTCCTGTGATCATTGTATGTGTCAGTCGCCTGATTTCAATAATTAGTTACAGTTTTTCGTCAACAAATTAAAAGAAGAAAGCTGATAATTGGAATGTTATCAAATTGTAAGAACTTTTTCATACCTCAATTGGAATGATTTTTTGATTTGGCTCCGAACTCGAATCTTGTCCCAGTATAGTTATCCAAGTAGCGAAATGAATTAGATTCTTGATAAATTTAAGTCGATGGAAACTTTTGTAATTTTTCGGAAAACCTTGTATAACCATCATTATACCACTTCATCTCTCTTTTTATACCTTTCCTAAAGTCGATTATTATTTTTAGTATTAAAGTACAATGCCACAATCGACATATTCCTCTTATTCTAAAAAATCGAATGAATACCGTATTTAAATAATTTTTACATACCATTTTTACTTGCAGGTCAATGAGCTTAAACTCGATGGCAACGAAGAACTGTTGGAAAAAATCAAACACGGTCAATTTACCATTCGTGACATGTACGAACAATTCCAAAATATAATGAAAATGGGTCCATTCTCCCAAATTATGGGTATGATTCCCGGTTTCTCCCAAGACTTTATGACCAAGGGTGGAGAACAAGAATCGATGGCACGCATCAAGCGCATGATGACTATGATGGACAGTATGTGTGATGGTGAACTCGACAATCGTGATGGAGCCAAATTGTTCAGTAAACAACCACAACGCTGTGTTCGTGTTGCCCAAGGATCGGGTGTCCTCGAACGGGAAGTTAAGGAATTGATATCACACTATACAAAATTTGCCGCTGTTGTCAAGAAAATGGGCGGTGTTAAGGGCTTGTTCAAACAGGGCGATATGACCAAAAATGTTAATCCCACACAGATGGCAAAACTCAATCAACAAATGGCCAAAATGATTGATCCTCGTATGCTGCAACAAATGGGTGGTGTTGGTGGACTACAAAATATGATGCGACAACTACAACAGGGAGCTGCGGGTGGTCTGGGCGGTTTAGGGAATCTAATGGGCTTTGGCGGAAAGTGAGGTTAATGTGCTGTGACTTTGTCTAACAATGAACAGTACCATTGGAAATCTAAACATATTTATTTACTTTGTTTGGGTTTTCTTTAGTTTATTATTTAGCAATATTATTTGTTAAGTGGATGTTTTGTCCGAACTCCCACCCTGTCATCATAATAATTATCAGAAAAATATATCAACCTGTATGCATTGTAATATTCCGGTATAAGTTGTTAACAATAGAAAAGAAAAACAAACGGTTTATGTTGTTTAAACAAATCGTTCAAAAATTCCCAGGAATTACGCATGTAGTTCAATTTGAATTAAGACATCTACAAGACCATTTGAAATACTATACTAAAAAAGAAATGAACAATTTTAGTCGTTTAGTAATATATTTCTAAATTGATTAAAATAAAAAATTCGTGTTTTATATTAAACTATACATTTTTATTTGAAATGCGAATGTTGTAATTGATTAGTATAATGGTAAGCCTGTTTTTTAGGATTTCGTTAGGATTTCGAGAAAATGAGGTAATCTACAATGCGACTTGCTACTTCCATTGGTAATTAGTTGAAATTTTCGGACTTTCTACAGTGAGCATTTTTTCCTGTTAGAATTCAATAACTTTTAATATGATAAATAAAGTTATTTCAAAATTATATGCTCTTCTAAGTTTGGAATTTTACTGAGGAACACTTATGTGGACGATCATTGTCGTGGACAATCATCGGAGTATTGTCGCCTTATTATATGTTTAGTGGCCTCTAACAGATTGTTCTAAAATATTTAGTAAAGGTAGTACTAAATCCCGTTTACTATGATTTCAAAGCAGAACAACCAAGTACGATTTTGGCTACTCGTCAATGTTTGAATAATTTTTGATTTTAAGCCATTTTTTTTAAATGCGCTCTAATAAAAAGTATTTAGACTCTACAATTTAGAAAATTGACAATAGGGTAATTATACCCTCAGTGATATGGCTAGAGAAGGTAGTCGAAATAAGGGATTAACACTAGGTCTCTTTGGACAAAATCCGTTTCAGGACATTTTCAGTCGAGCTGGAGATGTCCGTCCTCCGTCTGGCTGATGCGCACGATAACTCTTGAAGAGTGTTTCTGATTTGGTCCAAATATAGATCGAGTTCGGACATAGACAATATCGGTCGATCAGAAAAGGTCGAGTTTTTTTTTAAAAAAAAAAAGAAGCATAGGAAGAGAAAGGATAGTTAGATTTTGCTCCAACTTTACAAACCCTAATATTTGCATTAGAGCTTGGACAGGTGCGAAAATGGAGAATATCGGTCCACTCCACCAAGTACATCCACCACAAAGGATCAAAACTTTGAATATCCATTAAGCTCATAAATTAACATCCGATTCCACTCAGATTTGGTACATCTCAATATTTCCATCAGCACGAGATCTGTTATAAAGATGGTAGAGATCGGACCATTCCATCTGGTACCTCCCCCAAAAAGGGTCAAAGTTTTGAATAACCAAAACGATTATAAAATCCGAAATAAGTATCCGGTATTCTTCACATTTCACGCATTCCATTATTTCTACTAACACAAGATCTGCTGTGAAGATGGGATATATCCATCCACTCCTCCTGGTACTTCCCCCCTCAAAGGGTCAACATTTTGAACACCTATGAAGCTCGTAAAAAGCGAAATTAACATCCGATTCCGTTCAGACTTGGAACGTCTCAATATTTTCACCAAGACAAGATATGTTATAAAGATGGTACGAATCGGACACAAGATAAATTGTGAAGATGATATATATCTGCGAACCCCTTTTGGTATCTTTTATCTGTCGTACATTTTGAAACAAGTCAGTCAGCGATTCTTTACAACCAAATATTTCTCTCAGCCAGAAACTTGCAATGAATAAGAAATTTATGATTTTCTTGTAATTTTGCCTATACCAAAATTTTTATCTGTTTTAGATGAAGTATTAAATGGAATACTTCCGTCGACTATATCTGGTACTTCATGCACATTTTAACATCATGCAAAAGTTATCACATATTTCACACAAAGTGAAGAAAGTAACCAATATAATCCAAACCTGACACGTCGCAATGTTTATATAACATTTATTTCGGATCGATACGAAATGGACAATATTGCCCCATTACTGCGGAATCAACTTCAATTTGAATAATCATAACAGAAGTCAAAATATATTTAAAGAATCGAACATTGGCTGGGAATATACATCTGTCGGCAAAACCGACTGATACTTTTTACCTTGAGATACGAGTCTGGATTTATAAGGAGTTTTACCTACTAGGGAAAAAATGTGCAAATTAAGGGTAAATTTTGTACTGTACCGTGCTGCACATTACCAATGGCTGAGCGTGCAACTTTTTGAGAAGAATAGATGTGGCATACTTTTAGGCGCTACAGTCTAATGAAATAATGTATAGCGTTGGATTTTTTTAATACCAATAATAATTTGAAATCTTAAGCAAACCGAACAAAATGTATTGATTGATTTCAATCGTATTTCCTATATACACCTTAATTATGTAGAAAATATAAAAATATTATCTGCCACAAACACTTTTCATTTTTGGCTCACTTATTTTCAATCGTTCTTGTCTATTTATCGTTGACATGTAAATTGTATACACATAAACATTTTAATAGCCATGATGTTTCTTTATACCTTTTTTAACTCTCCCCCTTTTTAAATATATTTAACATACATATGTATATGTAGTTTTTTGATTGTAGGTGTATGTGTATGTGTGCTCCAAACACTTTGCACTTTAATGGCAAACATAAAAAATGCATGTTTTTCTACCAGGCCAACAGTATTTTTAATTCAATGACGGGTTTTCTTGCATATACTTTTTGTGGGCTTTCTCCCCTATCACAGACATCACATTGTTGTTATTAAAGCGTTGAGACACAAAGAAGAATGAACGAAAGAAAGCCATACAGCCAGTAGCTACTTAAATATTCTGTTGGTATAGTATCATTATCATCATCATTACAGCCCAACGAACTTTTTCCCTAAAACCAAACAATTTCTTTTTTGGTGGTATGTACTTACACATACATGTGTGTATTTACGTTCCGGTGTCTTGTACATTACACAGTGCTACAGAAGAAAGAATGAGATTAAACATGTTATGAAGACATGTCGAAATAAAGGGCTATTCGTTTTCGATGCCATTAAAAACGAATCTTTTAATTTTGCACGAAGGTCTGACGATAGAGAATTTTTGTTTTCAAAGGTGTTGTTTGTTAAACTTAATTCTAAACTTTTCAAATCTTTCCCTTATTGTTTAAGTACGCATATTTCACATTGTTCTGTTATATATAATCTGTAGCTTAGTGTACAAAAGAAAGAGAACTCTTGTGATTTTCTACGTGAATTCTTCTCGTTCAACGGAAACAACCGCCAACCTTACACTTTCAATAGCTATGGCCAAACGTCGCACTCTTTCCTTAGTTGTATCATAAAAAAAACGAAATGCGTGCTGTGTGGCTGACAATGTTACCGAATAATAATAACAATCTCCCATTGTCATAAAACCCATCATTAAACTGTCAATGGAAGATGGTCATAAAATCATCAAACGAGTCAAAATACCAGGCAAGCAGGAAACTCAAATAACTCACCAACACAACAAAGTAAGTCTGGGACGAGAGTAGGCTTGTTTGACTGAAGCAATTTGGGGTAATTTTTATAGCGCCGCATAAAACTCAGTGAGTTTATGTAAAGTTTAAGGGTTGTCGGCTAATGGCGGAGACTTTTTAAAATTCCAAGCATAAATCTTTAATGACCGTTTTGAAATATAAATCAGTTTTGCTAAAGGGTAAACATTTTGTTGATTTCTGTGTGACTCAATATGGGCCAAGCATATAAGTTAACTTTGAAACTGGATCTAATGTGTGAAATGTAATTTGAATTTAGTAATTTTAAATTACAGACAAAAAGATAAAAATTTATTGAAAAGCGTACTATTGGAATGGGGCAAAAAAGGGAAGTTAGGACTCTGACATTTTTTTAACTGTCTTTGTTAATTAAAAAACAAGGTAAAAAGTATCAGGCGGTTGTACCGACAGATGTATACCCCAGTCTTGTGTTATGATTATTCAAACTGTTGCCCCTTTATGGGGGAGGTTCCGAAGCAGTTGGCCAATATTGACCATTTCGTATCTGACCTTAAACTGATATAAATATTAAAAGGTGCCAAATTTTGACTATATCGACTACTTTCTATACTTTATATGAGACTAGCTGAACCCGGTGCGCTTCGATACCCCTTTTGATTTTATATGCATTCAAAATTTTATTTACGAATATATGTTGGATAAAAAAAAAAACAAATTAAAAAATGAAAAAAAAAAAAAAAATATTGCACTACTTTAATGCGTTAATAAACAAAACCATTAGAAAAGCAGTAACATGACATGCATACACGAAGGGTTTGTCCTTTGGATTTATTTATTTCATAGCAAATACCAAGCGTGCAGTGGCCAAATTGAGTGGCATTTCTACTCCAATTAGTGAATTCGAGGTAGCAACATACTTCCCCGTAATAAGCATATTTCAAATAAATTGTTGTGTTGTTTTTTAGTGTTAGCCTAAGGCGTTGTGGGTTAATGGTTCTTATTAAAATTATATCCCAATCTGATCCGATTTAAATATAATTTTAAAAAATTTACTTTTACACTAAATTCCGCCACAACTTTCATATTTCATTGAAATTGGTGCGTCAAATATGTGAGCTATATCCAAATGTGAACCGATTTTAATATAATTTTACTAATTTATTTTCTAATCAAAATCCCGTCATTTTTGGAATCGAACATACATATCGTGTATGGTGCATAAAATACATGAAATCGGTCGAAAATATATATGAGAGCTAATCTAAATCTGAACCGATTTTAATATAATTTGACTAATTTATTTTCTAATCAAAATCCCGTCACACATTCCCAATTTCATTGGAATCGAACGTACATATCGTGTTTGGTGCATCAAATAAACGAAATCGGCTGAAGATATATATGGGAGCTATATCCAAATCTGAACCGATTTCAATATAATTTGACAAATGTATATTCGTTTTAATTTCCGTTACACATTCCAAATTTCATGGAAATTAGAGATACATAGCGTTCTTGGTGCATCAAATACATGAAATCGGTCGAAAATATATATGGGAACTATATCCAAATCTGAACCGATTTCAATATAAATTGATAAATTTATTTTCGGATCAAATCCCGGTAAACATTCAAAATTTCGTTGGAATCGAACATTCATATCGTGTTTGAGGCATCAAATGAACGAAATCGGTCGAAAATATATATGGAAGCTATATCCAAATCTGAACCGATTTCAATATAATTTGGGAAATTAATTTTTTAGATAAAATCCATCACACGTTTCAAATTTCATTGAAATTTGGGATACATAGCGTGTTTGGTGCATCAAATGCTTGAAATCGGCCGAAAATATATATGGAAGCTATATCCAAATCTGAACCGATTTCAATATAATTTGGCAAATTTATTTTTGTTCCAAATTCCGTTACGCATTCCAAATTTGGAGACTGTATCTGTAATCGATCAATAGATATGTGCCTACAAAATCTAAATTTTTGGGAGGTACCTCCGATTCTGATGCTATATCTCCACTTCCAAGTGTAATTTCAAAAATGTATATAGCCTATGTTACTTTCAGGCGATGTTGCAGTATACATGCAAATTTTCAGGAAGATCTGTTCAGCGGTTTTCGAGTCCATAAATTACAAACAAACAAACAAACATACAAACATTTTCCTCTTTTATAGATATAAGAAGATATGTGCAAATATGGAAATATGCGTGAGATGCCAGATATAGCGGACCGGACATAGTAGAAGAATACAGATAGATGCATCAACGCTTGGGAACATTAATATGTCAAAATGTTTAATTGTTTTGACAAAAATGAGTAGATTTCTATATGTTTTCTTATACCACACAAATAGTGGATTGTTATGATATGCATTTTTCAACCATTTTTACAAATTTCAGTAATTTTTCATTCAAAAATTTCAATTCCAAAATTGGTTTGACTGTTTTTTTGTCCCAGCAGCTGTGTCGGTGCGACTACCTGAATTCTTCTACCATGGGACCGAAGTATTCAATTTTCATGTTTCATCTAATACAGATAAAAATATTCGTGTGTGCAAAATTTGAAGGAAATCGATCATTTATATCCAATTTTATTCGAAATCATAAATTCCGATAAATTACATATACATATTTGATTCCTGGTTCAGAGAAATATTGAGATATAACAAGTTGTAAAGAATCACCGAATTGTTTCGCAAGTTATGACAGATACAAATATTGGAAATAGTGACTCTTTGGGGGTGAGCCTTCTGGTACGGCTTTGACAGATATACAGGATGAGATGAAAAACTGCAACCAAATTCAGACGGCTGACATTGCTAAGTCACTTGTCCGGCAGCTGTTAAAATTATTCCAGTGACAGCTCATTATATTGTTTACAAGCGTACAAAAGCATTTTGTTGAGAATTTTCCAGTAAAAAAGTTTTTCGTAATGGAATTCAAGCGTGATAGTAGGGTGATTTCTTTATATTTGGCTGAAAACCACAAGTGGCTATCGTTAGAGCACTCCAGCATTTAAATGTGAATAAATCTTTTGTGTCTCGTAGCATCGCTCGTTACCGTGATACTGGTAGCATAGCTCGACGCCAAGAAAGTGAACGGAAAAAAATAGCAACAGACTTGAAACCCGCGTCGCAGTGGCCGAAAAATTGCTCGTGAGCTGAACATATCGCAATATTCCGTTCAGCTAATATTGAAAAATGAGCTCGGGGTTAAATCATTGAAATTTCAAAAAGAGCAAGAACTTACCTCGCAACAGCAAGAAAATAGACTCAAAAGAGCGAAAGAGTCGCTTAGCTTGGCCGAAAGTGGTGAACTGACGAATTTGCTTTTCTCCGTCTCCGATGAGAAAATATTCGTTGTGCAGCAGTTTGTAAACAAACAAAATGATCGTATTCACTTGTCAAAGAGGTCAGCTGAAAATGTGCTCCTTCGGTTGGTCACCAGAACTCAAGCGTCGGCCATGGTGATGGCGTCATTATTCACCGGAATTGTTTCAAATTTGGTATTTGCAGTTCGTAATGTATACTACAACCTAGGACAGAAAATTGTCTGTGCAGATCGACGTCTTCGTATAGCCCCCATATAACGGTACCTCCCGGTATTCGGTATTTTGATGATTTTAGCGACATTATTCAACGGAATTGTTTTAAATTTGATATTTGAAGCTCGTTATGGATACTACAGCCTATGACAGGAGATTATCTGTGCAGGTCCACGTCATCGTTTGGACCCTAATATGACGGCTACATATAGAATTATTAATATTTTACCAAAATTTTGAACGGATTTTATTTTTTTTTGAAAATTGCCGAATTTGTTCAAAGTTCGGCCCGGCCGAACATACAGTTTTTTTTTACTTGAGACTTCTTAATTTTTTCTTTACTCACCATATACTCCTTAACCAATTAAATAAAAAACATCCTTAATTTGTTTTTTTGTTTTCTTACAGAAAATCAGTATTTTTCTTTATTGATGCAGAAAAAATTCTCAATTATGCTTCGTTTTAGTTTTTTGTTTCAGTTTTCATACTCGTTTCACATGTTTTCATTTTTTTTTTTATTTTTTGGTTTTGTGTTTCATGTCGAGTGTGATCATGCGTTTTTATCAGCCATTTGACAAGTATGTGTAGGTGATGTGTGGTGAAAAATGTCCTATTGTTGTGGTTTCTTGTATCTTATTTGGCATTTGTTTTCAAGGACCCTAATGTGGGGGGACATGAGAGAAAAAATGATGGCGTCGATGTGTTTGCTTGTGGATACATGCATGTGTGTGTCTGTAAATATTTGCCAAGCATGTCCTTCGAATGTTCAATACAATAAATCATATAACCACAAAGTTTGTTTTCTCAGTAACATTGAGCGCATCATTTTCATCTACGGCCTTTGTTTCTTTATTTTTTCATTATGTTGTTTTTGTCCGGTTTTAAATTTTTACATTTTATTTTTTTTTTGTTTCAATTGTTGTCATTTTGGCTGTTTTTTTATTTTTCCCACAACTTCTATTGAGTTTATTGTTTGATGATTTGTTTTTGTTCTAGTATTGCATATATGAATGCATCTTATTTTCATCAGTTTCCATTTTTTCATGATTTCTTTTTCGTATTTTTGTTGTTGTTTTTAATCCTATGATTTACTTATTTTCTTCTTTGATTCTTTTTTTATTTTTTTGGTTTGTTTTACTTTTTAACTATTAAGACTTAAGCAAAAATTAGCACAAAAAGCCTTGCATTCTTATCTAAACTAATGTTGTAGGTTTTTCCCATTTTTTGTTTTTCAAAAAACATTTTGTTTTCTTCTTTTATTTCGTTTTTTTGGTAAAAATTAATGCATTTCCAGTTATAAGAAAGGAAGAAAAGGAGGAAAATTGAAAATATGCTGAGAAAAGTTCGATAAAGAGTTTGCCGACCATTTTCCATTATCCTTGGTAATTCAGACACATTTTCAATTCTCATATTTAGTTCGTTTAGTTTTCAAAGTATATCAAGTTTGTATAGGAATTGCAAATCTGGAAAATACATAAAATCATTACACACATTTTTGTTTCTATAATCAAAAAGGTTTCCTAGAAAATTGTTTTTTTTTTGTTTTGTTTTACAGCTAAAATTAATAAGGAAAAAAATATCTTTCAAAGATTCATTCCATTAATTTGTCCTTGGGAAAAATTTCCTCCAAGCACGACTTAAAAATTAATAAAGAGCAACAAGCGAAATTTACAAGTTCTTTTTTTTTGTTTTTTCATTTTTTTCATATTCTTAAGCTTAGAGTTTTGCTGAATGCGTTTTCTTGCATTTTGTCTTATTTATTTTTATGATTTTTTCTTCTTCATCTTCTGGTTTTGTGTTTTGTTTCATCCATTTTATGTTTTCTATTACTTCTGTTTTTGTTTAAAGCAACTTGTATGTTTTGTTTCTTCTATGAGCTTTATTATTTTTTAACAGTTTTTTGTGGTTTTTGTGTATTTTAGGTTTTGTTTTCTTTTATTTTTAAAAAGTTTCAAAAAAATATATGTTATTCATCATCATCGCCATTTTAACTTGTAAAAAAACTCATAAGATATTGTCCTTAGGGGACTACGTTTTCTTCTTTTGTTTTAAATATTAAATTAAAAAAAAAAAAAAAATAATAATAATAAACAAAAGTATACCAAAAAATAAAAATAACTTTTATATTTGTTTGAGAAACACTGCACTTTTTCGAGTCCGCACTTGGAACTCCTGATTCGATTTGAAAAGTCTAAATGTCACAAACTCGATATCTGTTAATCGTTTTTTTATTCCACTTTCTTCTCTTTCTGTTGTGTTGTTATTTTTGATAATCACTGTGCAAACTAGTGTTCAATATAACTATTCACTGGAAAAGCTCGTGAACTAGTTCAGTAAAAAACGTTGTTTTTAGTCGATTAAGGAGCGCATGAACTGACTCACTACAAATAAACCATGGTGGAATAATACCAATACCAATAATACCAATAATACCAAAAGTCAAACCAATATTGGAATTGAAAATTTTGAATGAAAAATGTATCAAATTTCTAAAAATTTTTAAAACAAGCATAAAAGTATCTGTCGGTTTTGCCGACCAATATTGGCCATATCGTATCGGACCTAAATAAAGATGATATAAATATTGCGACGTACCAGGTTTGGACTTGGTTTTAAAAAGCGTCAGGTACCAGATATAGTCGGCCGAAGAATTCCATTTTCATGCTTCATCTAAGAAATATAAAATTATTCGTATGGGTAATATTACAAGAATATTACGAATATTTATATCCAATTTATGGAAAATCATTAATTCCATATTCATCTCAGGTTTCTGGCAAAAAAGATATATTTAGATATAGCAATTTGTAAAGAATCTTTGACTTGTTCCGCAAGTTATGACATATACAAGTATTGAAAATTGTGACCTTATATCATCTGTACAACAGACATATATCATCTTCAATACAGATATTGTATTAGCAAAAATGTTTATATGTGTGAGATTTGAAGAGTATTGAATGCTTATATCGCTTTCTTTGAGCGTTTTGTTTTTCAAAATCTTGAACCCTGTGTGGGGCAGGTAGGAAAATAAATGGTCCGATCTCTCTTTATAACAGATCTTGTTTTGATGGAAATATTGAGATGTACCAAGTCTTGAATGGAATCGGATGTTAATTTCGCTTTTTAAAAGCTTCATGGATATTCAGAATTTAAAGCCTTTGTGGGGGAGGTACCAGATGGAGTTGACGAAATATCTCATCTTCACAACAGATCTTTTGTTAGTGGAAATAGTGGGATGTGCTTATTTCGGATTTTATAAACGTTTTTGTTATTCAAATGTTGATCCTTTGTGGGAAGGTACCAGAATGAATTGTCCGATCTCTACCCTTTTATTAACAGATCCTGTGTTGATAGAAATATTCAGATGTGTCAATTCTAAATGGAATCGGATGTTAATTTCGCGGTTTATGAGCTTAGGAGGAACCAGAAGGAGCGAACCGACGTATTCCACCTTTACACCAGACTTTGGGTTAATAAAATTATTAGGATGATTGAAATTTGAAGACAATCGGACTCTTACATCGCATTTTATAAGAGTTGTAGTTATTCAAAATTTTGTTGTTGCAAAATTTATAGGCTTTATCCCTTTATTGTTGTTTTTATAAAAACAACGTTTGTTTATTAGTGGAGAACGATGGTAATGTTTACCAGGGGGTAAGGCAGGGAATACCTAGGTTTCGGAAAGAGCCACCAATCCTCATCAGTTCCCTTGTTTTTTGTCTGGGATATTCTCCCCAGATGTTATTTTAAAAATAACTTCTATGACAAAAAACATTTTTTACCCAAGTGACGAGATCGTAAGCTCAATAGAAGAGGAACCAAAGAATTAAATAAAACTAAAATTCTTTTGGAAAGTCTTTTAAATCTTACAACCGCACTTATAAACATTTACATCTTTCTCCACTTGTTATGCTTTCGTTCAACCTGAACGAAATAGCATAACCATGTAAGTTGGTTTTGTCTGTTACAACAAAAACCCCTTCGTCGACCGTGCCTTGTCTATTAATAGAACAGTGTGGCTTGTTTAATAGACAAGGCAGACAAAAAACAAGGGAACTGATGAGGATTGGTGGCTCTTTCCGAAACCTAGGTATTCCCTGCCTTACCCCCTGGTAAACATTACCATCGTTCACCACTAATAAACAAACGTTGTTTTTATAAAAACAACAATAAAGGGATAAAGCCTAAAAATTTTGCAACAACAAAATACTACGGTATCCCGAACAAACAAGCCACACTGTTCTGTTATTCAAAATTTTGAAATTTGTGGGGGAGGTACTTGATGCAGTGGACCGATATTGTCCATTTCGCACCTGACCTAGTACTGAAGCAAACATTAGTTTCTTTTTCTCTGCAAATATTTTTTGAAAATTTCGACCTTTTGTGTGGGAGGTATCAGAAGGAGTGGCCCGATATTGTCCATCTCCGAACTCGATCTAAGCTTGAAAAAAATATAACGACGTACCAAGTTTAGACCAAAGCAGATACTCCCTTCGAGAGTTATCGTGCGCACCAGCCAGACAGACAGGGAGACGGACGGAGGGACATCGCTAGATCAACTCCAAATGTCCTGAAACGGATTTGGTACAAGGAGACTTAGGGTCTAAAACCGTTATTTCGACTAGGCAAGTTTTGGCCGTATCAAATGATATATACCATCCCTAGCCATATGGCTGAGGGTATAAAAATTATCGTACATGTCTAATAACCTATTAGGAAATTCAAATATGAAATTTGAAACGAATCTGAACAATGTCGCTAAACTCATCAAAATACTGAATATAGGGAGATACAGTTATATGGGAACTATAACTAAACGTGGACGTATAGCGTGCTGCGGACGAAACACACATTTGAGTAAAATTTTATCAACCAACTTCAATTCGTTCGGAAGCTAGAATGATTTCCACAGACGGACGCGCGGATAGACGCACGTTCATCGTAAAATAGACATAGAATTTCATGCTGATCAGGAATATATACACTTTGTGGGGTCTAAAATGTAAATTTCGAGGTGTTACAAACAGTATGACATACCATGGTGGAGGGTATAAAAACGAATAATTGATCATGCAATCAACACGAAAACGTCAAATGGTCTTATTTTTATTTTTGCAAAAAATGTGCCACTCGTCTAGCGTGAATAGTTTTGAAAGTAAATTTTAAAATGGAATGAAAACATTTTTTGAATTCACAGTTTTAAAGTAAAAAATTATTAAAGTTTGTTGAAAAGGATATATTTTAACAACATTAAATGACATTAAAGTCCATTTCAGTGGCTTTATCTTCTGTATGACTTTTAAAAATGCCCAATTAAACGTGTTTCCAATATGTAATATTCTTCAAGTTAGTTTCTCAAAATATTCGCAATGCAATGTATGATGCCTTAATTGTGCGTTTGTTATTTAACACATAAAAATAAACAAAAATAAAATAAAACAAAAATAATTTCTTGTTGACGAAACAAATTAGATTTATTAAAACAAAACTCACACTAAAAGAAAAAAAGCAAACAGAAAATTAAGACTAAATAAAAAAACAAAATTATTTAAATTCTAAGCCACTCTCTGTCAAACATTTATTTCACGCTAATCAATTTTATTTTTTGTCAACATTTCAATACAACTTTTTCGTCGTCTTATTCCTCGTCAAACGTATTTTCTTTCTTTTTTTCTTACAAAAAAAATGTAAATCAACTTGCATTTAATTTTTAGTTATTATCATTATTTTACTTTAGCTAAATTAAAAAAACAACAAATTTCTTATAACTAAATTAATAAAATTAAATAAAGTAGAAAATAAAAAAATCACGACCGCCAATGGCTACTGCTTGTAAAATATCCTCATTGGCCGTCTGTCTATCTCCTATTCGCATAGACTAAAAGCATTTCATCATTTGATTTTTGTTTAAACTTAAAAATAAAGTCAATTAAAAAATAGAGCAATAAATTAACTACTTAAATTACAGCAAAAAACATTTTTGTTGTTATTGTTGGTTTTCTATCTTAGAGCCTATGCTTTGTTGGTTACTTCACTAACGAAAAGAGGTCTTAACATTAATTACAAGTAACAAATTAAATAGAAAAAAAACTAGATAGGAAAAATATTTTAATGCAATTTTTCTTGAAAAGGACATTTTAGGAATTATAGTGGAAAAATCGGAAAAATGTTAAATTTGTATTTAATTGAAGAAATTCAATATTTTCTTTTTATAGAAAAGTCCAGTTATATTCCAATATATTCCTTTGCATATTTCGTAAAAAATGAAAAAACTGCATTAAATTTTATTAAACTTCTAATTTCAAAATGTTTGGGTGTGTTTTTTCGTTTTTTTTTCCTTCAGATAATATTGAAAAGGATTTTAAGACTACATCAAAAATGTTTTGTGTTTTTCTTTTGTTTTCTTAATACAATACTAACTTAGACCTATCAAAAAAGGTTACCCTATCATGTAGAGTTTTTATTCCAAAAAAAAAAAAAAAAAAAAAACAAATAATGAAAATCACCTATGTTCTGCCTAAGGTCTTATGTTCTAAGCTTTTGTTTTTTATTTATTTCACTTATAAATTACTTGTTTGCCTTAAAAATTAAAACAAGTTCTTATTATTTAAAGTTTTTAATTTCTTAAATTATAAATAAAAATTAAATGTTAATTTGCTAGGCAAAAAATGACATAAAGAAATCAAAAAAAATATATAAAATTAATCTTATTTCTAGTAACATAAAAATTAAAACAGGACATTGCACAATTAAAAAAATATGAAATAAAAAATAAATAGCATTTACTTTTCCTTAATAATTTTGTATTTGTGATTTTGGGTTTATTCCGATTTTGCGTTGGGGCATTGGGGTTTGATATATGGAATGTGCATTTTATATATGCAATTTAAGGTTCTCTACTTTAACACAAAAACGAAACGAAACACAAAACTTATGTTTTTTTCTCTTCTTTATTTAGTTTGTTTTGATGTTCTTGTTGTAATATTTTAATTTTTTTTATTTTAGTTTTCCTTTTTTGTTTTAAAGTTTAGCATTGTAATTCTTATACAAATTTTATAATCAGTCTAGTTTTGTGTTTTTTCTTTTGTTGTTTCGTTTATTTAGATGTTTTATTTAGATTTGTATGTTTTGTTGTAGTTGTTGTTGTTTTCTTTGACAAAGAAAAAAGTCTTAAAAACTATATAATAGATGTACATACAGACATTTTTATATATACTGTTGATTCATTTGTCATGTCAAAAATAAGGAAGACATTTGGCGTTATTTTTTTTTATTCATATAACATCAATAAGTTTTTTTTCTGCAAATATTTTTCTTCTCATTTTATAGTTTGTTTTTAAGATTCTTTTTTGAGATGAGCCAGGGTTTAGTGGAGTCAGGGGTTGTAGAAAATAATTTTTTTATTCTTCTTATTCAATTAAGGTATGCAGGAAATTAAATGAACTAATAAAGTGGCACCTTTAGTTATAATTGAAATAAAGCACCCATTTAATTTTTCCCTGATTAAATTCTAATATTGTATCTACGTTATTTTGAATTTTCTAAAAAGGAGGTTGCGGGGTTGAACAGTGTATGGCATGACCTCAGAAAAATATAGAGATCTATCACGTGCCAAACGATCATATTTAAATTTCTTTCGAGACACAATTCGATTTTCACATTTTTTTTTCAATTTTAATAAAAACAAGTAAAAAAGCTGTAAGTTCGGCCGGGCCGAACTTTGAATACCCTCCACCATTTGTAACGAATTTGAAAAATTTCGAAAAAATATAATCCGTTAAAAACACTGTTGAAATCTTAAAAATACTAAATGTAGCCGACGTATTAGGGTCTATACGATGACATGGACCTGCATAGGCAACTTTTGTCATAAACCTTTACAATATTCAAATGCGAAACTTAAATAAAGAAATTCGGTGAATAATGTAGCTTAAATCATCAAAATTCCGAATATAGGGAGGTACTGTTATATGGGGGCTATACAAAAACCTGGACTGCACAGACAATTTTCTGTCTTAGGCTATAGTTTTCATTACGAACTTCAAATACCAAATTTGGAATAATCCCGGTAAATATTGTCGCTAAAATCATCAAAATTCCGAATATAGGGAGGTACCGTTATATGGGGGCTATACGAAGACGCACAGACATTTTTTTGTCTTAGGCTGTAGTTTTCATTACGAACTTCAAACACCAAATTTGAAACAATTCCGGTGAATAATGTTGCTAAAATCATCAAAGTACCGAATATCGGGAGGTACCGTTATATGGGGCTATACGAAGACGTGGACCTGCATAGACAATTTTTGTCATATGCTGTGCTACCTATTACGTATTTAAAAGATGAAATTTGAAATAATTCCGGTAAATAATGTCGCTAAAATCATGAAAATACCGAATATCAGGAGGTACCGTTATAGGGGGGCTATACGATAACGTGGATCGACGTGGACGATTTACGAACTTAAACTGCCTACTATGCATGTATGCAAAATTTTAGCATTCGTTCTCAATTCGTTCGAAAGATAGCGTGATTACAACAGGCAGACGGACATCTATAGATGGTCTTAGAATTTTACGCTGATCCAGAATCTATATACTTTGTAGGGTCTGTTATGAATATTTCGAGGAGTTACAAACGGAATGACAAAGCTAATATACCCTGCATAGAATGGCGGAGGGAATAAAAATCGAACACTCGAATATAAATTTTAACCTTTGTGGGATAGGTACCAGTAGGGGTGGGTCGACATCTATCATCTTCGCACCAAATCTTGCGGTAGTAGAAATGTGTGACATTTTAAGATATTCGAATGTTTATTGCCATTTTTATGAGCATTTTGTTCTTCAAAATTCTTAAATGCGCGCCCCACGGGGACTTTTCTTTTAGATCACTGAATTTTAAAATATTCAAAAACGCCGAACGTCGGACAAACGTAGAAAAAAATTTAATCACCTGGTAACTCTACAATACTATTTTATTGGACCATTCAATAGAATTTCAAATATGCGCTCTTATATACATATATATTTTTTTTTAATTAAACATATGACAAAGTCGAGGGGTCTTTCGTTATGGGGGCCATTAATTATTTTACAAACAAAAAAATATTTTAATAAAAATAAAAAAATAAACATATCCAAGGGATTGAGTATAAGAATCGGTTTTAGTTTTGTCATAGCTTGAAAAAAAAACATTGGCTCTCTTTTTTCTTAAAATAGGAATGTCGTATGTTTTGTGTTACGTTTTGTTGAAAAACAAAATTATGCAAAAAAAAATCAGAGAGAAATATACAGGTTTTTTCCTCACAAAATCACAAATACAAAATTATGGAAAAATTACATCAAACTGACCTTAATATTAAATAGCAAAAGAAATCACTAAAACACAATTTTTATAAATTAAAAAATAACAAACTACATAGATAACCTAGCTTAAACATAGTTTTTTTTTTAAACCTAAACTTTCTGTTTTTATTTCATCTGTTTTTTTTTTCATCCTTAAAAACTAAGCATTTTTTTCTTTTACATTTTCTGTTTTCATATAAAACTACATTCTGTTGTTTTCTTTTTTTTCTGTTTTTTTTTTTCACTTCAGTTATTTAAACAATAACTTGCCAGTTTAGTTGTGTTGTTCTCATTTCATTTCTGTTTTTTTTTCGGGATCTTATGACTCTACAACTGACTAAAAAACTACTAAATGTTGTTTGTTTCATTACTTTTCGTTTCATTCAATCATTCTCTCTTCTTTCCCCTATCAGCGTTTGCTATATAGTTTGTGGTGGTGCTATTGAACCCCTATTTCTAATAACATCATTTTCTAAATTTGTCAATTTGTTTACAAAAATTCAATTTGACAACACCACTAAAAATTGTTATATTAAACACATTTGCCTGCCATCACTCTCTGAGAGTGGGGACAATTTCTTAACGTAGCTAAAACCAAGAAATAATTCTCAAATACATGACATATATACTAAAGTACTGTTTGTCATCATTGTGTGCGATACATGTTCAATTTTTTGGTTTTTCTTGTGTATTGAAAAAGTGATCTCAACTTTTTTTATGAAATCCCTTTTAAAATGTATGGGTATGTGTGTTTGAGTGGGAAATTATTTTGGAAAATATATATAGAAAATAATAATGGGGTTTCAAACTATATAAATTAAATCAAACTAAAAATTCTTGTAATTTTTGCTTCCCTTACAAAGTATCTAGTAAAAGTTTTTTCAATATCTATATTTTCCCTTCTTTTTTGTGTTAATAAAAATACAAAAAAAATCTTTAGTATTGCCTTCATATTGGTGGACTTTATAGACTTCAAGTTATCTATTTCTTCGACTACTTTTCAACGAATTTAAGTTTTTTTTTTTCAAAATATCTCTCTCATTTTGCCATTTTTATTTATTTCTAAATAAACTAATTCTCATTGCCATTGCCTTTATAAGTTAGTTTCTATTATTTTTCTGTCAATCTATTCTTACGATTCTTTTTTGTTTCTTCTAAACCTACCTTCATTTGTTGTTTTTAATTCATATTTGTTCTTTTGTTTTTTCTTTTGTGTTTCTTTTTATAAAAAATCTACTATATTCTCCTTTTTGTTTGTTTTACACTTTTGTCTTCTAAGTTTTTTTTACTATTATTTTCTATTTTCGTTCGACTTATTTAATTTCCCTTGAATTTATTGTATGGTTTTCAATATGTTTCATTTTGTGTGTTTTGTTATATGATTTTTAAATGAAGTATATATAAATAAATATAAAAAAGGAAACAAGTTATGGCAAATTACAAATTTAACAATTTATTTGCTTGTCTTCAATGTTTCTACGTTTTATTGACATTTCAAATTTAACCTTATCCGGAATGAAAAATTTCTTAAAAAAATCATTTAACGGATACTTGAAAATTCCCCCAGTATTTAATTTGAGTTATATTACAAATTGGGAAATTATTCTCATGATAATTTTAAATTTCAAGAGATATAATAAGCTCCCGAAAAATTGTTATTTGCCCCATATTTGAAAATTTTTCAGTATTTAATTTAATTCAATTACAAATGAGATTATTTTGTCATTGAAGATTAAATTTCCAAAAAAAAAAAAAAAAAAAAAAAAAACAATTGTCGACTTTGTCTGCCAAAAAAACTGTCTGCCTAATAATAAAAAAAAACAACGGATCCAAACTCTCATCTCCTCGTTTTTAAACATTATTCGTCGTGTTATTTGTTCAAAGTAGCTGCATTGATTCGAGGACAATTTCTCCCCATCTACTATCTCCTCCAAAATTCGCCAGGCAAACGTATTTTTTGCTAGAGGATGCGATACAAAATTAAATGCGAAAAAAGCGCCAAATCAAATAAACTTAAAATATTTTGGATTTTGATTTAAGCCTTTAGTAACTCTCGAAGTACTCGAAGAAAATGAGATGACGTCTTATTGAAATTCAAAATTTAAATAATATATTTTGGATGTCAATGTGTTGTGTTTTTTATTCGCACTGGTCATACAAAAACAGGCCTTATTTCAAAGAGGGCAAATACGCATTATTTTATAAAAGTATCAGATTTCATAAAAATTCCGTATGCTGAGACGTTAAATGTGTGAAGTTCCTTCGTGGATTGTTAAACCAATTGAATTGTTCTTTGATGACAAAGAGACATTGTAAAATGGACCGAAAAGAGATAAATTGTGGTTCTGAAAACAAACTCCATTATGCCGATGTCTTAGCTTAAAGAAAACGCAACTTTATGGGAGTACAGGCCTTTCAAAGTTTCACAATTGATTGATTGCAGTGAGATTCCTAAAACTGTTAGCAGTTTTAAGTCAAATACATCCGAATATCGAATATTTGAACGGCAAAGGTTTCTTTATTATCCAAAACAAACTTTTGCCAAAGTACTATTCATCCTCTTCCTTATTAAATCTCCTTCATTTATTTTTACAAATTTGGTTTTCTTATTTGCTTCCTTCTTTTTAAACCCATTTAATTATGATTCTCATGTTTAAAACCATGACCAACATGGACCGTCTATACGATAGTGTTCAAGCTTCATGTTGTAAAAAATTGAGAAAAAAGATTTAAAAGTCAAAACGAAAAGAAATTTCGCTGTTCATAGAATGACAAATGGTCTGTTCCAGAACTGCTAGAATGCTTACTACGATAACAGATTTTCCCTTTATGATATCGAAAAAATATACAAAAATAGTAGATTCTTGCAGGTTCTGGAACAGACCAAAAGATTTCAAAATTCCTGCCAGGGATGACCAAGTTAAAACGACTTTCACTAGAAAGAACAAATTAAAAAATTAACTCCAATTTTAGCGAGAACATATCGCTGCCTTAATGTTTAAAAGTCTATATATTAATAGAAATATATGGTAATTTTCAGGAGGAGATCGATTTCTATCATCCAAAAATCCTAACCTTTCGAAAATTGATTTACTGGATTACTGACCCAGTCGAAACGGCTTCCACAAGGAAGATGATATATAAAAACATCAATGGCGTCTCCAATAAAGATATTGTTTTAATATATATAGAAAGATTCAATGAGTAATATCACAAATTTCTTTTGAACGGGTGATGTCATAATATGCTGTACAGTACTTTAAAAAATTTAGTAGACTAAATAAAATCCTCAAGAGACTCAAAAAGTAAAATATAAAATCTTGCGACGATTTTTTTTATTGAGTGAGAGCATTCCGCTGCCTGAATAATTATGAGTCTATGATACACTTTAATACAAATTTTCTATCACATCGTAGTCAAAGTCAGAAATTTAAAATTGATCGATGTATGAATTTAGAGGTGTGCAAAATGGAAATGGAAAAAGGTATTACCAATGCGTCAATTGGCGATACCTTTTTGGACTTCTGTTTTAGTCATTTTATTGGGGAAATGATGTATAAATCTCTTAAGGGAACTTCATTTTACTGCCTAGAAAAGTTTAAATAATTGTGCTGCATACTTTCAGGCAAATCGAATGACGTTTAACATTGAATGACAATAAACTTAATTTATGATTAAATTTTCAATAGCATTTTACAATTTCTCGATATTTACTACAGATTTCACACAATTCTATTAAATCCGCAAAAACAATGAAGACAAATTGTCGGGAAAACTGTATATTTTTCTGCAATCTAATTGCACCAAATACGGTCTATATAATAATAGTCCTGAAAGTTGTAAATTTGCATTTAGACAAAAATAAACATGAATTTTAAAAAAATAATAATGAAATTCTTTTACAACAACTTACAACTAGCAGGAAAATTATTACATATTTGTCATGTGTTTATATAAACAAAAAAAAATCATAATCTTATACAATGTTTTTGAAAATAAAAATAAATAATATAAAACAAATAAATGCACAAGAAAAAAAAACTTTCTACAACTCATACATTTACACAAGAAAACACATCATTTATAAAATGAATTAAAAAAAAATTAAACAAGATATAAAGAGCAAGGCAGTTTTAAGGAATCGTTTGAAACAAATAATAATTACAAGTATTTATGGAGGAACTTTAGAAGTTTTTGCATTAAAAACAAATGCACAATGCAAAATAATGACTTGTAAATTAAACATAACCTAAGGGTTGTTGTTTTTCTTTGTTGTTGTTTTCAGTGTTCTTTGTAAAGTTTTGTTCCTCTTGCTTGCTTGCTTAGATTTTATTTCTTGGTTTTTGGTTGTGTTGGTTTTTGTAAATTTTTATTCTGTTCCTCAGTTTTTTAACAGCAACTTTTAATTCTTTGGGTGTAGATGTTTATAAATAACCTCTATTTTGCGACTTCTTTGTTGTTGTCTGCTGTGTTCTCAACTTGCTTTGATTCCATAATTATTATTCTTTACCAAGGTTAAAACTTTCTACACAGTCAATTGTCTTTCAGTTTCCTAACATCTACTCTCATTACTTGCTGTGTTATTTCCCCCCTTATTTCCCGTGTTGCTGCTTTTCGTGTTTTTCTTCTTCTTTATCATCTTCTCGGATCACTTAAATTTCTAGAGTTAATTTTATATTTAAATGTAATTTTAAATTAAATGTTCTTTTTTATTTTGCATTTTGCAAAAAATGGTTTGTTTTTTCTTAATCTTCTTCTTCTTCATGTTGTTTCAGTTGGTTTTTTTATTTTTTTTGTTTCAAATATTTAAATAATAATATTTGTTGTTATTATTATTATTTTATAGTTTAGTCTTTGCTTTACTGTTTTGAATTTGTTGTTGTTTTTATTTTATTTTATCCTTCATTTTGTTAATCGTCTTCATGTTCATGTTTATTATGTTGCGGTTTCAAGTTGTTGCTGCTGTTTCTGGTTGCTGTTGTTGTTGTTTTGCTTTAGTTTTTCCTCTTTTTTCATTAAAAATACAAAAGTTTCCTTTTTTAAATATGTTAAGTTTTCTTTTTTTCTTCTTCTTCTTTTTCTTGTAAATGAATGTTTGTTTGGTATTTTGGTTGTTGTTGCTATCATTAGTATTTTATTTTATTTCTCTTTTAAGAATTATCTTTTTGTTGTTGTTGTTTGTCTAAATACTTTCAGCCACAGTTGTTGTTGATGTAGTTGTTGAAAAATCCAGTCAAAATCAGCCCCTTCAAAGTGCCACGTGCGGTATTAGAATATTACATCTGAAATTGGAGGAGGCATTAATTTTGATTGGGTTAGTAGAGGGTAAAAAATATGTGTACAATTCGTTAGGTTAAAATTTTAAATTAAGTTTAAACAAAGTTGTAAATAATTTAGACATGCAATGGGAAAGTGAATGAAATTTTGGAATGTCCATGAATATTTGTATTTACATTTTTTTTTGCAAAATGATGGTATGAGGAAAAGAATGTCATCTGAAAGCTTTTATGGGTAGCAGACCTATGAGAAATCTTTTGGGTGTAAAAGGCTTTAAGTAGTTGAAGGCGATGTCTTTGTATAAAAAATTACTTATAAGTATTTTTATAGGTGACCTCTTGTAGCCTATAGGAATGTCTTTTTATACCCTCAACCATATGGCTAGAGAGGGTATATATCATTTGATAGGGTCAAAACGTGCCTAATCGAAATAACGGTTTTATACCCTAGGTCTCTTTGGACCAAATCAGTTTCAGGACATTTGGAGTCAAACTATCGATGTCCGTCCGTCTGCCTGTCTGTATGGCTGGTGCACGCGATAACTCTCGAAGGGAGTATTCGAGTTGGTACATCGTAAACTTAGATCGAGTTCGGAGATGGGCAATATCGGTCCACTCCTTCTAGTACCTCCCCCATAAAAGGTCAAAATTTTCAAAAAATATATTTTCTGCACAGAAAGGGAAAGGATAATCCGATTTTCCTCAAATTTTGTAAATCCAAATATTTACACCCCTGCTAGGTTAGGTGCAAAAATTAACAATACCGGTCCATTCCACCAAGTACCTGCCCCACAAAGGGCCAACATTTTGAATAATTACAACTCTTATAAAATGTAATGTAAGAGTCCGATTATCTTCAAAATTCACATATCCCAATAACTTTATTAACCCAAGGTCTGGTGCTAAGATGGAATATATCGGTCCACTCCTTAGTGTACTCCCCCACAAAAGGTCGAAATGTTGACTATTCATTAAGCTCATAAAAAGGGAAATAAACATATATAAACATATATATACAAAACAGCAGAGTAAGTTTCATCATCTATTCAAAAACCAATACGAGGTCACAAGAATGTCTTCTATCTTCACTCATAGCAGGGACTTACCCTGTAGTGGGTTTGGCCACCTCCAAAATATAAAATTTTCTGACATTTCCAAACTTGGTAGATCTATTCTTATTTCTAGTTGAGCTTAACTGAAAATGAACTGAAAAATTATGAAATAAATAGGACATTTTCTGTATAACTACGGAAACTTAATGTCAGATATTAGACCTGTAAATGTCTTGTCCTTCTTTCCTCCAAAGTAGTCTTTTTTATATTTTATGTACATTTTATATAAAAGATCTATTTTTTCTAGTTAAGCTCCTTCGAAATGGTTATGAAATAAATTTCTGGTCCGTCATAGGACATTTTCTGTATATGTCTGTTATCGGCACAACTCGAAAACGAAACGAAAACAAAATATTACATGTAGAAGAAACTCGATATATAACGGAGAGTTTTATAGATGACTAATCTACAGAAAGCTTAAAAAAGATCTTCGATTCATAAAATGCCAGTAGAAGATCATCTGGCCACAGGCTTACTTATAGAAGCGAAGTCTTAAATCTGTAGAAAAGACATAAAGGTGTAAATACATAAGAAGCTTGAAGTCATGGCTATGCATATTTGTTGACAATTCATAAAGGGATTACAGAACGACACTAAAATCCTGCCGTCGTTTTCCATTATAATTTGACATTTATATGCCTAGCCATGACTTCAAGCTTGTACTTGCTCCTTAAGAGTGTTATTGCTTATTTATACATAGTTTTAGCTAGAGTTTAAATTTGATCCGTTACACGAAAAAAGTCTCTCATATCAATTTTCTGAAGAATTTTCTTTGTGGGTGTTTGAATAACTGGATGCATTCCGGGAATAAGAATGACACTAATATATACAGGCTTTTTGGCGATTTAATCAAAACCCATAATCCCCAAAAAAAATGAATTTTTCAGAAAGGTTGCAATTTTGGCAGGTAAAGCTGAAAGCAAATACAAGTTTATAGTTTGGCCAAGACCGTAAAAATTGGAAAGCAAGTATTATTTTGACATTTCGGCCCAAATAACACCATATATTCCCAGTAAGTCTCAGTAGTTCGTCAAAACTAATTAATGTCTGGCTTCTTTAGACTAATAACAGATTCGATGTAGAACCAACGAAATGGCCATTTATTAATCTATAACGACAGCATATCTTTGGACAAAGTTGATGATGCCAACTGCTATGGGACGTCAGAACGCCATTCTCCCAATATAAATGCCATCTAAAAGTATGCTACGCTACCATTTTTTGGGTTTGTATCCATACTAATTAGATGTATGCATCGTGGCAATTCCAGAAACTATGTTAGTGTTTTTTTGTTTACTACCAACCTAATAACTTGGGAGAATATGAGAATATGAAATGAAACATTTTATCAAGAAAAGAAAAGTCATATGAAAATATATTTCATTGCAAATTTTCAAAGAACAAGAGCTCAGCGTCTGAATTATTTTAACGTAGAGCTTCAAAATTTGGCAGGACAATTTGTATTGCGTATAGGTCATAATGGGTTCTAGCTATGGTGGCGAAACATTGTATGTATAGGTCCACGTTTGTATAGCCCCCATATACCGGTACCTCTCAATATTCGGTACTTTGATGATTTTTGCCACATTTTTCCACGGGTTTGTCTAAAAATTGGTGTTTGTAGTTCGTAATGGCTTCTAGCTCCGGTTACAGAACAAAGTATATATATATCTACATTTTGGTATAGCCCCCATATAACGGTACCTCTCGATATTTTTATGATTTTTGCCACATTTTTCCACGAATTTGTCTAAAAATTGGTATTTGTTGTTCATAATGGGTTCTAGCTCCGGTGACAGAACATTGAATATTTAGGTCCATGTTTTCCTATATCGGATATATAACGATACCTACCGATTTACTTTATGGTTTTTTGAAAAGTTTAACAACATTACCCAAACGGTCTCACTGGTATTTTTAGTTTAAAGTGGAACACGTTTGAATTCAGATACTTTTAGATGTTTAATTTACCAATGGTGAAGGGTATTAAAAGTTCGGCCTGGCAGAACTTAATGTTTTTTACTCGTTTTAAGTATTATTGCAAAAAGTCTAACCAATTGATTTGAATGCATATAAAACTACAAGTTTACGATAAACGTATCAAATGATTAATGAGTGTTTCTTTTGTGATAATGTCCTCTAATATTTAAATAGGTTCTTGGTTCAAATTCATTGTTTTTTTTTTCAATTTGTTATAATGTACACTAAAAAAAAATCATTTTGTGATGAACAGATTTTAAGCAAACAGGCAGGCAAAGCAGGCAGGCACTAGCAGCGCACAAAAATGTGATGACACGATTGATGGTTATGAATAGCATTTAACGAATAGAAAAATAAAAGACAAAAAAAAAAAGCAACATTGAAATGAAGTGGAAACAAAAAAAAAAACGGAAAAAAAAAACTAGTAAATTACACACAGTTCGCTTTTTTGGCTATTTTTAAAAATAATTTGTAGTTTTTGTTTGCAAAGAATATCTAAAAATAGTTGCTGGTGACAATGTTGATTGTCTATAGCAATTAATAGAATATCTGTGATTAAAAATAAATATAATAACACCAAGTTTTTTTTAGCAATTAAAATTATTAATTAATGCATTTTTTAGTTATGCTAGAGTTTAATGGCAAATTATAATGTCAATTCATCTAGGTAACAAAAAAACTACGAACATCACATGCACTAAAAAAAAAGATATGGACGAATGGTTATATTAGAATATAATCTACAAATGTCTCCCTATAAACATATTTTCAAGCATGTTGACTTTGATTTAAAGAAATTTTATATTAAGAAACATTGATTTCAAAAAAAAAAAAATTGATTGAGTCATGTATTGGCTTTATCGTATGGGGGATGTATACATTCCGTCAAGTCCTTTTGAAAAATCCCAAATCCATTAGAAGAATAAAACGTGAAGATGACATGTGGACTTACTCAGATCTAGTGGCACTTAATCGAATATGTGAGACTGATTGTCAGAATCGAAAGCCTTCTTAGAGCTAAGTAGGCGACTGACACTTAACAACATGCGTCAACGGCAATAATACCGATTCTTGGTGAGATTTTCAAGAGAATATCAATGAAACGTCTTGATTCCGTAAAGTCCTTTTGAAAAATCCCAAAAGTCTATTGGAAGTGTGAAAAGTGAAGATGACACGTGGACTGACTCAAATCTAAAGGCCCTTAATCGAGTGTGTGAGTCTGATTTTCAGAATCGTAAGAATTCACAAAATTAACTAAATTCCGGTTCTGTGGAGTCAAGTCACTGCCACTTATAATGCAAGGAGCTCTTGTTAAACTATCAAAGAAGGCACGTAGTAACGGAATATGTTTTAACCCAGCTAAAGCAGAGCTTGTTCACTTCACTTGCAAACGAAAACTCTCAGATCATCTAATGCTAGATGGTGTCAAGCTGTCCCTGCCTTTCCTTTAGAAGCTAAATATCGGTAATGTTCTCGACCACCAACTTAATTAGAAGAGGAATATCGAAGAACGCGCCAAAGAAAGAAAGGAAGAGATACTTATTGTTCTTTACTATATCCACATATAATCCAATGGATATATGAGTCAAATATCTGTCCGAATCTCACTTAGAAGTTCAACATCGTTAGAGATTACATTAACATTTCGGAAGATACCTTAGCCCTATTGGACGCCCTACTTCATTGAAATCTTTTAAGTCTATTTGTTGAGAAACAGGTAGTCAAAGTCTCTCAGACTCAAGGAACTGAAACTGTGGCGCAGCCAACCTTATGGAGGCACTGTGATTTTAGGGTGTATGGAACTTCCGTTTATACATATAATATCACATTTGAAATTCTAGCCCCTAGACATCCGCATACTAGACATGCGGAGAAATCTATGCTATCCAAAAAATATAGATCTATTGGCTAACAAAATGAGTGAACGATCCGGTAACTATGTATATATGGCGACAGTAAGGCAGTCCTAAAAGCACTAAATTTATATTATGAAATTCATGCAGGAGGGTAGGATAGAGAAATACTACTCCGGGAAGGTCCAACAAAACTGGCTGAATGAAAGGGGATTAAACGTGACGAAATCAATTTAGTCAACAATCTCCCGGAAGAAAACAAGGTCGCTCATCTTCATGGCGAAATCTGGTGGACTGACTCTGTCAAGACGAGCAAGAGCTCTGCTCTGCCTTTGTCCAATGCTTTTCGGTATGAGACTAAGGTCCATGGGAAAACGAATTACCAACGATCTGTATTCATTCTCCGATGATTTATGATGACCAGATGATTTATGTAGCTAAATATGACAAGATAATATCTCAATTCATTGTAGTTCTCCTTTTTATACCCACCACCATAGTATGGAGGGTATATTAAGTTTGTCATTCCGTTTGAAATATACATTTTATATACATTTTAGACCCCAAGTATATATATTCTTGTTCAGCATAAAATTCTATGTCGATATATCAATGTCCGTCCGCCTATCCGTCTGTCCGCCTGTGGAAATCACTCTAGCTTCCGAACGAAATGAAATAGGTTGATAAAATTTTACACAAATGTGTATTATGTCTGCAGGACTTTCAGTATTGAAAGTATTGGGCCATGTAGCTCCACGTCTTTGTATAGCCCCCATATAACGGTACCTCCCGATATGCGGTATTGTGATTAATTTAGCGACATTATTTACCGGAATTGTTCCAAATTTGGTATTTGAAGTTCGTAATGGATGCTACATCCTAAGACAGAAATTGAGCCATGTATATCCACGTCTTCGTATAGCCCCCATATAACGGTACCCCCCGATATTCGGTATTTTTATGATTTTAGCGACATTATTTACCGGAATTGTCTCAATTTTGTCTTTGATGTTCATAATGGATACTACATCTTAAGACAGAAAATGAGCCATGTAGATTCACGTTTTCGTATAGCCCCCATATAACGGTAGCTGCCAATATTGGGTATTTTGATGATTTTAGAGACATTATTTACCGGAACGATTTCAAATTTAGAATTTGAGGTTCGTAATGAATACTACAGTCTATGACAGAAAATTGTCTGTGTAGGTCCACGTGTTCGTATAGCCTCCGTATAACGGTACCAGCCGATATTCGTTATTTTGATGATTTTAGCGATATTATTTATCCGAATTGTTTTAAATTTCGTATTGGGTATTACAGCCTATGACAAAAAAATCTCGTACACAGTTTCCTGTCTTCGTATATCCCCCATATAAAGATTCCTCCCATTATTCGCCGGATTGGTTTTAAATTTCGTATTTGAAGATCTTAATAGGTCCTACAGCCTATGACAAAAAATTACTTATGCAGGTCCACGTCTTCGTATAGCCCCCGTATAAAGTAAACGGGGGTAATTCTGTAAAATAGAATTACAGTAGCGCAGAACTACCATATGATTTTAATTTTTTTATTTTCTTGGCTTAATATGTCATATTTATTTGTTTATGTATGTGTTTTCTTTGCAATAACAAAAAAATTGTTCAGAAAAAATTCAAATTCGGGTGGTTTCAGAATGTTTATTTCAATGTATGCATCGACAAAATCTAGAGTTTTTGTAGCGAAATTATCCTTTAGAGATATATAGTACATGATTTTGAAAAGAAGTGTTGACCTTTCATTCAACTATCGCGGTTTTCAATTATTTTTTTCAAAATAAATGCAACAAGTTGTTTGATTTTTTATTGTTTTGATACTAGTTCTGACATTACAAGCCAAACAGGTAGACCTCTATACTTGCAATTTTTTCAAAGTTGACCTACCTTCTCTTCATTGTACCATGCTTTAACTAACCTTCTGCAGACTAGGGCTTCAATTCTTGTTCTATGAAAATGTGAAATGAAAACTTCTATAAAGGAAATATTTTTCATTTCATATTTTCATAGAACAAGAATCCAGCCCCAGATTACACGTCAGGGTAGAGTCATACGTAAAATAACTTATTCCATATAAATCCTTGTCATTTGTATAGCATACTTTTGGGCTCTACATATAATTATTGAATTAAAATTTAATATTAATATATAGTATTAGTGTCTAATGTTTTGTATATGGCTTATATAATGTAGCGTGCCTTTTAATTAAAAAAAAAAAATCAGGGAGCTCCTAAAAGTATGCCATAAAATTCAAAATATAAAAAATACTATGATTTTAACATGATGTGTAAACTGGGCCATGTCTTAATTAAAAGGTAAAACCGATGTCAATGTTAAATTGAGCCATGATTTGATTTTTAGGTACCACCAATTTGTAAATGTTGAAAATCTCTATATATTTTTATGAGATATAAATCGAGATATGTTAACTTTCCTGTCCCAAAATGATCAAAAGGATTTTGCTACAACTATAATTTGATATTTCAATATATGTCCAGTTTTTTAGACTTATCGCCTGAATATTAGAAAATGTAATATTTTTGGTTTGTAAAGAGTAGAAGACTCTCTTAGAGAGATATTCACAATTTTTAAAGCTTTTGACATATCGAAATTGAAAAACTGATTGGGAAAACCCCATATATGAAACTTGTATGGAGGTGTCATATCGCAAATATGCTGTTGTTGACAAAGAACTGTGTGTAATTATGACACTAGCAAACAAGAAAAAAAATATCCATCTAAAGAAGCAACATCAAAACATACAAAATAAAAAAAAAAAAAAAAAAACACAAATATAACACAAAAACAACACAAATCCAATTGCATAAAATCTCTAGGAAAATGAATTTGGCAAATGTGAACAACAACAAATCATTAAGGGTTTCATGTGTGTTTGTGTAACGAGATGACATTAATTAATTAAAAAAGAAAAAAAATGTTAGTTTTGTTTTTTTTTTTGATGGGGTTAATTCTTGGAAACAAATTCCATTCAAACACACTGACGCACTCACCTCGCGAAAACCTATTTGGGAGCGGCTGCATGTGGATACTGCGTATATGCCTCATCGGGTGATGCAGCTGTGCTAGCCTGTTCAGAATCTGTCATTTGCATTGTTGGTATAATTGTTGTAGGTTGTGCATAATATGGATAACTTGGACTAATATACTGTAATGGAGAGAAATTCTAAAACGAAGAGAACACAAGGAAGAAAAACAGATACAAATAAATATAAAAGGTTTCAAATGAAGGAGGGGAAATTAAAATAAGATTTTTTTTTTATTTTTATAAAAACAACAGAAGATATAAAGAAAATTAAATAAAATATTTTATAATTAATATATATGTAAGTTGTTTTTACAAATATTCTTACTGTGGACTTCCACAATAAAAAACAACAACAACAGCTACTTGGGGCATAATTTTCATGTTTTACATTTTTTCTTTTTAATTAAGTAAATATTTCCATCATATATATATATATATATATATATATATATATATATATACATATATATATATATATATATATATATATATATATATATATATATATATATATATATATATATATATATATATATATATATATATATATATACATATATATATATGTATTTACATACATAAATTGCTGTTTAATTATCCAAACAATTGTATTTTTAAATTTATTGCCCTCCACTTACCGAATTGCCAATTTGCAATGTGGCCAACTGGGGCATCATTGTGCCATATGGAACGCCTGTGTCGCCGCTAACCATCATCGATATGCCACGTGGTTGCACTTGATTGACAGCATCTGGTTTATAGGAAGCAACGCCTAACTGTGGAGCAGCGGCCATTTGCACATACTGTCACAATATGTATGTGTGTATGTATGTATGGTTGTGTGCGGTAACGAGCATTATCCATGTCGGAGAAACATATAAATAAACAACAACAATAACAATAGTATGTAAGTAATTAACTTAAATATTCATAAATCATTTATGCATTATAATTATGTGCTCATTAATTGAAAAGTAAATTAAACATATGGACAAATGTTATCAATTATTTGCATAGATCTACTGGAGATAAGTAAATATATTAAGTGGTGAGACGCATAATGACCTAAGTCAGAAATTTTTGTATTTTTTCAAGAATATTTATGGATAACTATGTTGAAAACCTTTAAGTCTCATTGTAGAGGAACAAGCTGCTAGATGTGCCCTGACTCCGCCATTGAGCCGAGTCAGTCCTTTGGGCACTCTGTCATTCTTTAGTATGTGGAGAATATAGGAGGTCGGGCTATAACCAGTGATTACATATCAACAAGGCAAAGTTTCGAATCAATGGACATCCATATACCAAACAGGGACACCTGGACTCGAACACACCACCTTTTAACGGTATAGCTGTCTATACCGATGGTTTAAAGATGGAAAGTAGAATGGGAGCTGGGATCTTCTGTTCATGCTTGATTATCCGCAGATACGACACCGAATACTGCAGGACGAGGAGGAAACCGAAACTCTCTTTGGCTAAGTAAATTCTACCCGACTTGTGCTCCTTCTCCGAATGTGAACCACCAGCCATGCTTCAGTTAGCCAGAATACTGAAATGGCTAAATACAATACGCTAATTATAAAATTTTCTTATTCCTATCTTCTAACTCTATCCATCTTCTCTATTTTCTTACCTCACCTTCTTTCCTCTTCTCTGAAATAAATCTCTTTCATCAAATAGGATGAACACAATAGACCAACAGGCCACCGAGTGCAGTGATTGTTCGAAAAACCATGCATCCTTTAACCTAACCTAACAGTGAACATACCCCAACATTCTAAAACTCGTTTTTATACCCTCCACCATTCTATGGAGGTAACTCCTCCAAATATTCATGATGAACCCTAGTACAAAGTATACAGGGAGAGATGAATAAACTGCAATTAACTTCAGACTGCTGTCATTTCCAAGCCGCTAGTCCGACAGCTGTTAAAATTATTCCAGTGACAGCTCATTATATTGTTTACAAGCGCACAAAATCATTTTAGTGAGATTTTCTAGAAAAAAAAGTTATTCGGGATGGAATTCATGCGTGATAGTGTGATTTCTTTATATTTGGCTGGAAACCCAAAAATGGTTTTCGTTAGAGCACTCCAGCATTTAAAAGTAAATAAATCTTTTGTGTCTCGTACCATCGCTCGTTACCGTGATACTGGTAGCGTAGCCCGACGTCAAGGAAGTGGGCGGAAGAAAACAGCAACATCAGTAGAAATGGTTCGAAAAGTAAAGTAGCGACTTCATAGAAACCCGCGTCGCAGTGGCCGAAAAATGGCTCGCGAGCTGACCATATTGCAATATTCCATTCGGCATATATTGAAAAATGAGCTCGGAGTAGGGCCATTGAAATTCCAAAAAGTGCATGAACTTACACCGCAACGGAAAGAAAATAGACTCAAAAGAGCTAAAGATTTGCTTCGCTTGGCCGAAAGTGGTGAACTGCCGAATTTAGTTTTCTCCGATGAGAAAACATTCGTTGTCCAGCAGTTTGTAAACAAACAAAATGACCGTGTCAGCTGAAAATGTACACCTTCTCGATTGGCCACCAGAACTCAAGCGCCGGCCATGGTGATGGTGTGGGTCGCTCTCCACTCGTATTAATCGATGCATCAGAACAAATGCAACAAAAAAAAAAAAAAAAAAAAAAAAAAAAAAAAAACCAATGTGTCGATCATCTCAAGCAATCGCTTCGCCCGGAATGGGCCAAAATACCGCAGAGCAACATTCGGGCAGCGTGTGACGGTTTCATTGGCCGTTTGAAGGCCATAATTTGTGCCAAAGGTGACCAATTCGAACAAATCTAAACTTATAATAAAATTTGATGTTATTTCCGAAATTTTTCGCTTTCATTCAATAAAATTAAAAAAAGTAAATATTATAGTTTTTGATTTTGTTGCAGTTTTTTATCTCACCCTGTATATGTTAGAATTTAATGATTATATATTGTTAAAATTTTAAAAATATTTTATGTTAATTAAGTTCTTATCACTTTTATCTAAAAAAAAATATACACGTGTCTGTTATCGTGTGTGTCATATGACAACTAACTAATGTCACAAAATGTAAACAAAAAGGAAATTTGCAATTTTCCAATTGAATGAATTCTAACCTTGAATATCTACGATTTTAATGAGACTGTTGAGAGTTTTAATTAAATTCCTAGAATATTTCAATGGAGAATTTAATTTTAATTTAGTGACCATGTTGTGCATTTCATATATTATATGTATTTAACACAGTGTAACAGTATTATTGAAAAAATATTGTTTTTTTTGGTATCCACGCCTCTTACGGAACATTGCAGAACAGACAATTTGTGATAGAAAATTTCTAATCAAACATTATTTGCAGAGGTTGTGGCATGCAGCCAGAATGAGTTTCCGTACAGGTAGTTATATTTCTATCAAATTTAAATTACATGTCAAATGTGGCTATATCGGCTCAATTCTGATTGTACTTCAGACCCTTCTAGAAATGTAGTTTTGTAGAAAGTCTTCTACCCAAAAAGGCCAATTGTATTTCTGGGCCTGGTAAACATTTTCAATCTAAAGAAGATCTGTTGAAGCTCTATTACCTACAGAAGACCCGTTGAAGATCTTTCAAACATAGATTATGTGTTAACGATTTTCTGGCTCTAGAATGCCGGTTAAACTATTTTGCCTGTAGAAGACATGTCACAGCCACAGTCTGTCTACAGAAGACCTCTGAAAGGTATGCTCTCTATAAAATACCTGTTAAAGCACTTCTATCTATAGAAGACACGAACAAGATTTTCGATATATATATATATATATATATATATATATATAGATATGCTTGAGTTCTATCTATCGTTTATGTAAGACGTGTGTATGGTCTTCTATCCATACAATGACTGTTGAAGCTCTTCTGCCTATAGAAGACAAGTTGAACCACTTTTATGTCTAGAAGATATTTTAAGCTTTTACAGGGTTGCCCATATTCGACGGACCTTTGTCCAATCGACGAGGCTTGTCCGCAGGCAACATTCTTTGCGTCAATTGAATTTTGTACGGGAACAAATGCAAATCAATGCGAATAATCCGTTGTAAAGTGGACCGAGCCATGTCCAACTGCTGAGAACGGCGTTTTTGGGATGTTCTTGGGGACCTCTCAACACTGGCTCGTACGGCAGCGATATTCTCTGCCGATCGCCTTGGTCGACTTTTATATGGCCTCTTCGGATTAGAAAGAGCCTTACCAGTCGAAAATGTTTCGTATAAACGATTAATGGTGTTCTTAGAAGGCGCACTTCTCACATTTTTAATGTTTTAAAAGCTCGTTGAGTTTTCACAATTAACTTCTTGTAAATTTCAACTATTTCAGAGCGCTCGCGTGGCGTGTATTGGTTCATGGTAAAAATCAGCTTGGGCTGACGCTTCAAACGCGGTATGTCATTAAGCGATGTGACATCTCTGTCAAAAGTTATGGCGTTGCCAGATGGGTCCGTCGAATATGGGCAACCCTGTATAAAGCCTTTCAGTATCTATCTGTACCTCTTCTATCTATAGAAAAACTGTTTAAGCTATTCTTTCAAGAAGACCCGTTAATGCTCATTTATCTGTAAAATACATTTAAAGTTTTTTCGATCTATGGAAGACGGGTTAAAGCTCTTCTATGTATTGAATATCTATATATCTTTAAAGCTTGTATAACTATGTAACTTTAAGACCTGTTAGAGCCCTTAAATCTATATAAACACTGAAAGGTTCTTATTCTATATTAAGATCTTGTAAGCTTTTGACGATTTGTTTATTTATAGTAGATCTGTTAGAGCACATCTGTGCATAGAAAATCTCTTAAAGATTTTCTATTTATATTAGACCTGACAAAGCTCTTTTATGAATATCATGTTTGCTTAAGCTTTTCTATCAATATACGACCTGGCAAATATATATAAGACCTGATATATAAGACCTGAAACTCTTACATATATAAGAGCTGAAAAGCTTTTCTATCTATGTAAGAGTTAAAAAGTTTTTCTATCGATAGATGAGCTGAAAAGTTATTCCATCTATGTAAGAGCTGAAAAGCTCTTCATCTATAGAAGAGCTGAAAAGCTCTTTTATCTATGTAAGAGTTAAAAAGCTTTTCTATCTGTATCAGACCTGAAAAAAGAGATTACCCACAGAAGACTTATTAGAGCTTGTTGGTCTATAAAAGACCTTTTAAAGCTATTCATCCTGTAGAAGATCTGTTGAAGATCTTCTGCTTACAGAAGACATGTCATAGATCTTCTACCTGTAGAATACCGTTCAAAGCTCGTCTATCAATTGAAGGCCTCTTATAGCTATTTTTTTCTAAAGAAGAATGCCTGTTAAAGCTTTTCTATAATTATACGACCTGGCAAAGCACTTTACCTTTATATAAGACCTGAAATCCTCTGATATGTACAGATATAAGCTATATTAGAGCTAAAAAGCTCATCTACCTATGGAAGTGCTAAAAAGCATTTCTATCTATAGATGAGCTGAAAAGGTCTGATATCTATGGAAGGGCTGAAAACATGTTATATCTATGGTGGAGCTTAAAGTCTCTTCTATCTATAGAAGGGCTAAAAAGCTCTGCTATCTATAGAAGAGGTGGAAAGATCTCTTACCCATAGAAGATATAAAAAACTCATTTATTTATAGAAGACTTTTTAGAGATAACTGTTAAAGCTATTCGACCCTCTAGATCTGTTGAAGCTCTTCTGCCTACAGAAGACATGATATAGTACCAGAAGAATACCTTTCAAAGCTATTTTTCTACAGAAGTTCTGGTACAGAAGACCTGTCAAAGCTGCTTTCATCGATAGAAGACGCTTTGAAGATCTTCTATATATAGAAGACTTTATAAGACCCGTTTGCAGTTCTTCTGTCTATAGTAAAACTATTGAGGCTATGCAATTTATACACGGTGTGTTAAAGCTCTTTCATCTACAAAAGATTTGTCCAAGCTTTTCTAGAGGTTTTCTATCTCTATTAAATTTGTTAAATCTCTTTTATCTGTAGATTATCTGTTTAAATTTTTCTACCTACATACGTAAGATCTGCAAATGTTCAAATGTCTTTATAGGAGCTTTTTAGGTTCTTCTGCCTTTATAAGACGTTTTAAAGAAGATCAGTGATGGTCCACCTTTTTTTCCACCTTTTAAATATCTTCTAAAAGTTTTACACATAAAGTTCGCCTTTTAAATGTTTTATGTCCACAGCATATTTGTATTAGAAAGCTCTGCAGAATGTTTTGTTTACGTTTAAACTAAAATTTTTCATAATTCAGTAAACCACCACTCCCCTTACTCACCTGATCATCTACCTGAGTGATCGGCTGTGTCATCATATAGCCGGGATACCACGGTGAGGTAGGCATGGGATAGCCACCCACCTGGGGTGCACCGAAACGTGAGTACGGTACGCCGATGGGTGTGCCCATATTAACGCTGACACCATTCTGTTGCATGGCATTTGGATCGTATGCGACTTGAATGCCCTCGGTTGAAACATCGCGCCACGTTCGTCCGGTCTGGTCGGGAGCTTTGAAGAGATTCTTCTTTTTGGGACCACCATCGGCAAATTTAACTAGAAGTGGATCTTTGGCACCGGGAATAGTTGTGCCATTAAATATGGCAATGATTTGTTCACATTTTTCACGGCTTTCCATGCGGGCAAAGCCAACACCTGTGCGAGAGAAAGGGGGAATGAGAGATATGTCAAAAAAAATTGTTGTTGTTGTTGTTGTTGTTCGGTGTTGAGTGATAACAAAACGAAAATTAAATAAAAATATGAAATAAAATATTCAACAGTTACCCTTTGAGTTCATTTGAGCATCACGTAGAATCCTTGTTGACACCACCTGTCCATATTTCGAAAGCATGCCCTCCAGGTCGGTCTCTTTGAAGCTGGGTGGCAAATTTGCAATGTACAAATTTGTGGGATCCTGTTCTTGTTGCTGTTGTTGGAGGAGTGGAGTGGAGGCGGAGTAAATTTGCAACAATGTGTTTGTTTTGGTGGATGTGGATGTAACGATGTTGTTGTTGTTGTTTTGGTTTTGGGGTGTGATGGGTAAAAAAACATAAAATAAACAAAAAAAATATTGTGTTTTCAATTGTTAAAGGTTGAATTTGTTATTAAAATTATTGAATTTATTCAGTTTTTTTTTTTTTTCATTTAAATTGGCCGCACACATTTTTTAGTTTTATTTGCAATGTGGTAGTAGATGGTGGTGATGGTAGTGGTAGTGGTGGTATGGATGTTGTTAACAATCGGACACAGAGAGACAAAGAAGCATTTAGTGTTTTTGTTTTTATTTTATTTTTAGTTGTACATTAACGAAAACGAAAGAATAAACATTGAATTCAAATGTGTGCGTGTGTGTGTGTGTGTGGGTGGAGTAGTTGTGTCGTTTGGTATTGTCGTTGCGGATGCATAAATTGCAATGGTGTGCATGTGTGTTGGTGTTTGTTTTTATTTCATGGTGATTATAGCAGTTGCAAGTGTAGTAGCGATGGTGGTGATGGAGAGGGAGGTAACATTAGTAGACATAAAACAGAGTCGGTGGTGGTTCACATGTAGGATGCCAAAATAACAACGTCACGTTGAAAATGTTAAATGTATGTTTTTTTTTTTTTTTTTTGCATTGTTTTATCGTTTTGTTGGTTTTCCATTTGCCAAAGCACATACATCCACGTACACACACAGATACATTTTTATTTTATATATGTATATGTAAAAGGTCATAGCAGTCAACAATATGCACACATGTATGTGTGTGTGTGTGTGTGTGATTACAAATGTTATCAGAGGAAGAGACAGTGGGGGGAGAGAGCGAGAGCAAAAAAGAAAGAAAGAACAAAGAGAAGAGAAGTTTTTGTTAGTGAAATTCATTTCGCTTCTATTTCGAGTTGAAAAAAAAATTTGTAAAACTTAATTTTCATAAATAAAATAGATGTTCCTGTAGTAGTAGTAGTCGCGGTGTGTGTGTGTGTGTGTTTAACAGTGTGTAAAGGTGTGATATCCTGTAGTTAAAGTATATTAAATAATGTGCATGAATGTAGGCGTGGGAGTGAGTGTGTGTGTATTGATTGTGTTTTGATGTTTGGAAATACAGTGCGCGAAATAAGTGCTGCATTTTCACTTTTTTTTTACAAAAGACCTGTTAAAAAGAGCTTTTACGGATTTTCTAGAAAAATAATACATTTTGCGGACCTGTTTCGATGGAACGTCTTTAGAGGCCGTTTGCAGATAAAAGACCGCTGATGAAATTAGAAAAGGTTCTGTATATCATTCATAAAATTCCGTACATTCAAAGCCTTCAATGCATAGGAGAATATCGACATTATCTCTATTGAGAGGTATACTAGGTAATTTATAGATTGGAAGATTTTCATTGGCGTTCTATGTATATAAGATCTCACACACATCCTTTATGAGGAAAAGACCTACCACAGCTTTTGAAAGATTTTTTTGTATAGAGACTTTTAGAGGTCTATCCACCGAACCTATCCAAAGGTCTTCTGTAAGAATACAAAGGTTTAATTGTCCTTATACGGAAAGCATAATTCCCAAAGGTCCTACAAGGATAGAAGACCTACAACAGATTTTTTCATGTATAAAACACCTGGCGCTGGTTTTCTATGGATATCAGATCTTTCACAGGTTTACTAAAAGTAAGAGAGCTTTAGCTAGTCTTCTATCCATATAAGATCACAAAACAACAACATTGAGTAGAAGACCTTTCAAATAGTTTCGATGGATATATAAGGCTCTTTAAAGTCCTCTGTGGATAAATAATTTCGAGAGTTTGGATGTAAGAAGATCCTTAACGGATAGGAGGTTTCTACAGGTCTCCCATGGATGAAAGGTACCTAACAGGTCATCTTTGGATAGTCCGCATTTGTTCTATGAATACATGACCTTCCATCGGTCTCATATGAAGAGAAGATCCTCCACGCATCTCCTACGTATAGAATACCTTCCACAGGTCCTCTATGGATGAAATATGTTTCACAGATCTTCTAGGTACAGAGGACATGCTTCACAGATCTTCTATGCACAGAAGACTTTCTACAGGTTTTCTATATATAGAATACCTACAGATGTCCTACGTATAGAATTCCTTCCACAAGTCTTCTATGTGCAGGATACTTTCCACAGATCTTTAATGTATAAAATACTTTCCACATGGCTTCTAAGTATATGATAACTTACACAGATCTTCAATTTGTAAAATATCCTCCATATGTCTGCTATGTATAGAATACCTTCCACAGATCTCCTACGTATAGATTACCTTCCACAGGTCCTCTATGGATGAAAGATGTTTCACAGATCTTCTATGTATAGAAAACTTTCGACACGTTTTCTATGTATAGAATACCTACAGTCTTCTACGTGTACAAGACATTCCAGAATTCTACTATGTATGGAAGGTTCTCTTTAGACAGAAGATAGAAGAATAAATAGAATACCCTACAAATGTCATCTATAGACATAAGGTTTCATAGTTTCTTTACAGATAGAAGACCAACGGCAATACAGGTTTCCTAAGAATAAATTCCCTTTGTCAGTCCCGCAGCATAGGAAAGATATTTGACAGGTCTCCTATAGACAACATTTGATTAAATAAACCTCTAAAGGTCGACCATTTGTTATGGCCTTCATAGATATAAGATCCTCTGTAGAAAAAAAGCCTTGAGAAGTCTTCTTAATAGAAAAAAATTGTTGGAAGTCTTCTAAAGAGAGAACAAAATAGATAAAGGTTCTCTCAAAGGTCTTCTGTAGATAAAGGTTCTCTGGAGGTCCTCTAGAGATAAAGGAACTCCGAGATGTCCTCTATAGATAACGGAACTCCGAGAGGTCCTCTATAAATAAAGGACCTCTGAGAGGTGCTCTATAGATAAGGGACCTCTGAGAGCTCCTCTATAGATAAAGGACCTCTGAGAGCTCCTCTATAGATAAAGAACCTCTGGGAGGTCCTCTATAGATAAAGAACCTCGGAGAGCTCCTCTATAGATAAAGAACCTCGGAGAGGTCTTCTATAGATAAAGGACCTCGGAGAGGTCCTCTATAGATAAAGGACCCCTGAGAGGTCCTCTATAGATATAGGACCTCTGAGAGGTCTTCTATAGAAAAAGGACCTCTAAGAGGTACTCTGTAGATAAATGACCTCTGACAGGTCCCCCACAGATGTAGGGCATAGCGTACAAACCTCTATACAAAAAACCTTTGGGAGGTCTTCTTAATAGAAAAAACTTCTGGGAGGTCTTCTTAATAGAAAAATACTTCTGGGAGGGCCTCTATAGATAAATGACCTCTGAAAGGTCCTCTATAGATAAAGGACCTCTGAGAGGTCCTCTATGGATAAAGGATATCTGACAGGTCTACTATAGATGTAGGACGTAGGGCAAATCGCGTTAAGACCCCTATAGAAAAAAACCCCTCGCAAGGTCTTCTTAATAGAAACAAACTTCTGGGAGGTCTTTTAAAGATAGAAAATCTTTGGGACTGAACGGTCAGTTAGAACACCTGTGGAAGGTCTTCCAAAAAAGGAGTCTCTCATAGACAAACAACATCCTTGTCTTTTACAACCTGTCACAGACTTATTTCTCACACTGTATTTCTATGCGTTTTTGAAAACCGTGAGAAACTCTTTTGTGTCTATGTATGTTTCCTGTTGCTGTTTAAATGAATTTCAACTACCTAAACTTAGTTTTCGTCGTTAACTAGTAGTGAATGAGTTCGTATGGATGTGTGAGTGTAGAGAAGCACTTTTTATTATTGCAACCTTTCGCATATCCTCACACATACATACATTTTATTTAGCTTAACATAAGCATATTCATATTATTCCCACACATACATACAAACAAACTAACATTTGCATATTACATTTTTCGTTGGACGCAGGTAGCTATGAAAGGGCAAAAGAGCGAGGAGTTCATAGGTACAAATTTATGTTTGTATGTATGTCTGTCTGTCTGTATGTATGTATGTATGTATATATGCGAAAAGTTATAAGTGCTTTTTAATTAGTAAAAAACATACTTAATGTTAAAAGTACATCAAATAGTAGTAGTAACGGCACAAAACGAAACAAAACAAAAGAGAACAACGTTTTCAAGTACTTTAATTAAACGCGGCAATATGTAGACACTTTAGTCGAAAATTTACAGCTGTTGATGAGTTATGCTAATGTGCTCAACAATGTTCAGATTTCACATGGAACAAAATTTGTCTGGCTTTAAGGTTTAACGAAACTTGCCATAATTATGTAGCATCTGCGGGGGTGTGTTAAACAACAATTTGTAGTTGAAAATATTTGTTTTTTGAAATATTTTTGTCGTGTCAAAAAATATTTTAATTGAACTCGAGTACTTGAAATTGTTTCATTTTGTTGTACATTATCGCATTGTTTTCATTTTATTAATTATAGTTGGAATTTATTTAGAACTTAGCTTATGAAAGGAGTGGTGGGTTTGATGTGAAATGAAAATAATAACATTTGAAAAATTTAGCAATCGATTCGCAATTTAATACTGATTTTAATATATTAATAGTATTTTTTTAGTATACAGGGTAAGATGAAAAAAACTGCAACCAACTTCAGACTGCTGTCACTCGTCCGACAGCTGTTAAAATTATTCCAGTGACAGCTCATTATAATTTTTACAAGCGTACAAAACCATTTTGGTGAGAATTTTCCAGAAAAAAACTTATTTGTGATGGAATTCAAGCGTGTGATTTCTTTATATTTGGCTGGAAAACCACAAGCGGCTATCGTTAAAGCACTCCAGCATTTAAATGTGAATAAATCTTTTAGTGTAGCTCGACGTCAAGATAGTGGACGGAAGCAACATCAGCAGAAACGGTCCGAAAAGTAAAGAAGCGACTTGATCGAAACCCGCGTCGCAGTGGCCGAAAAATGGTTCGTGAGCTGAAAATATCGCAATA